AAATGGTTATCATAATGAAATGATTAATTTAATATTCTTTAAGCTTTTATAGAATTCTTTCAATAAGATTAGACATTTGACGTGAGGTATTATCGCAGTTTCTATAAAATTTTATATCTTTTCAGTTCAGACGTTTGATAATTATAACACGGATGACAGTGAGTATTTTTTGTGTAAATATATAGAGTATATAAAATAATTTTAAATGAATTAATAAAATATTCCTCACATTACAGTATCTCTCAACCCAGAATATGCCAAGACTGGAGTAAGTTGTAAGTAAATAAAAACTTTCATGTTTGAAATACGGAAAAAAGGAGTAAAAGCCGTTACTACAACAAAATTTTTAAACTATGATATGTACAATAACATTTTTTTCATTTTACTGATTGAGGAATTAAAGTAAATTGTATTGAAATATGTAAATGGTATCCAAGTCAAAATTAAATTGTTTTAGAAGATGGGAATAAAAATATATCGTCTATTTCTTCAAATATATGTTATTCCATAATTGAATTTTCTTCCAATACAAGGATGGGTAAATTTTGCTTTTGTCCTCTCATATAAACTAAAAATTAAAAAGTTAAATGTAAAATGTAAAATCTTATAAAATAATACCTACAACAAATTTCAGTCTACTTCGACTCCTCCTTTGGCAGACGGGGCGTAAATCGTAAGTGATACTTTTTCTATTTATATGATTCATGATAAGCTGCCACTATGCCAATCGTCAGATTAATTGTGCTATTAACCGGTCTTAAAATTCCCTGATAGGTAAGAGTAACACATTCTATTAGGCCCTGAGTATAAAAGAACAAGAAAGCACAGTGACATGAATACTCTCATGACACAACATAACCAAACCAACAAACACCGCCCTCGCTGGCGTAGTCTCATAGTCACGCTTCATACGCTCCAAGTGTTCTGACATCGAGGGACATCATTCAATTCCATTACCTAATGTGGGCCCTGCTTTAAAACGACGTCCTTAGCTAAGGTCCGGCCTCTTAGAGGCACTCCCGGGACGGGCGTACACTGCCAGGCCCCTCAGGCCCTTATTTAATGGGTAGGTCCTATCGGCCTACCTACCTCGACCGGCGACGCTGTCAAAGATATTAGAGAAGAAAGGCTACAGTCAAGTCGAAAATAAAAAACTATGTTTGCCAATCTATTGTCGTAGTTAAAGTCCGTTTGATTACAAAAATAATCCGTATAGAAAAAGTTCGATTCGTTATTTCTCATATATATAAAGTTGCTATGTATAATTTTCAAGGCGTGATAAACAAAAAAAATCTATGAATAATTTTGCCATCAAGCTTAAGTATTTCTTATAACTTAATAAATTACCAGAAACATTGTATATGCGAATCAAATAACAACAAAAGTCTACTGGTGTTTACGAAGAAATTGTGTTTTAAAATCTGTCTATTTTTTCTTTCACAGAAAATAAATATCCAGATGGTGATGGTAAGTTTCTAGTCACTGAAAATCCTAATACTTATTGATACGCAACACCTTATAACTATCATAAATTTTCCAGCGCAAGTTGTGGATTTCAATCCGAATTTTGGTAAGATATTAAATTTTTCTTCGATTTATTTAATATCAAACACAACTCCGATAAAAAAGTAATTACTAACTAAAAACTTAAGCCGTAATATTTGATTATAGAGCCAATATTAAATTAAAGTCGTGTTTTTTTGCAATTTTACAATCGAAAATAATGTATAATGTGTTTTTCAAATACGAAGAATTATTATATGACATTTATCATAACTTATACTTTTCTTTTAGATTTAATGAAAACGTGTAGATAAACGTGATATTAATATTTTTTTTGTTAAACATTTCAGATCGACAGCCCTATCTTCGTGGAAGAAACTAGATAACATTTAACAAGACTTTAAAATTTTAATGATATAATTAAAGAAAATTATTTGAAGGCAGCAATATTTTTTTATTTCCTAAATCCTTTCATACGAAAACCTAAATATTATATTGTGAAAATAACATCAGATCGTTAAAAATAAAATAAAACCGACCGAATCATATACAATTTAAACAATAGAAATGCAAAATGCTTACAGAGGCTGTCTAGTGCAAAAGTAACAAGTTAACTGATCATTATTAAGTCTAGTAAATGGGCATCCTAAGACCACACTATAACAAAAATTCTGTCAAATATGAAAATGTTTTTAAAACAATGACCATATTTATAAATGCTGAAGTCCTATGGAAAGTAATTTCTTTTTTAGTCAGGTTTGTCATTATTATTATGCAATATTCGCTCATACAATAACAAAAACATTTTCGAGAAATATTGTTTAAGTTTAAATTAATCATTTTCTCGAATAAAATTTATAAAAAGATTTTAATTTTATTTACTTTATACACTTGTGTAACTGTAAACATCGAATTCTATATAAAAAGGCTTGCATGCAAAAGATCGTTTAACGTTCGAGATATTCCAGAGAACAGAATTGAAAATTTAAAAATGAAGAAAATTTACATGGTAAGATAAAAGTCTTATTAAAAAAATTGTTTTTTTACTTTTTGTTATTTCTTTAAAAAAAAATCTATTAAAATTTTCTTTAAAAAATGTCTTTTAAAAAAGTTTTTGTCAATTACCAGTTAAGCAGGTGGGGCTGATATTCATTTTCAATGATAATTCCTCCTCCAGAGACATCTTGAACTAAGATCTTGACATCATACATTAAATACAATGACCCTTTTTCCGGGTAATCCCCTTCGCCATTCAGGACTTAGCTTCAAAAGAAAACTCAATAATAAATACCCACTGTCCCCTCTGACTGTGTAAAAACCAGTAGGACTATACAGATTTCGTAAAAAAAACTTCTTACTATGACGTCTCAAACTGTCACTTACCACTTATACAATACAAAATACCACCTACACAAAATAAAACACAAATATAATTTAATTGCACCTGCTTTACTTAACTCTTGGTAAAATCATATTCATATACTTGCTCGTATAAATAGCTCGTTTTTCATATTATTTTTGTTTTATTAGATGCTGGTGTGCTTGCTGCTAGCCATAGCTATGACTGCACCTTACATCACGAAAATGTTCCCAATGCAAGAATGAACAAGAAAATACAATATGTATTTAATAACTAATTTATAAATACATAACTGTATTAAAAAAAATCTTTTTTTAATTTCTGTCTTACAATTTCGTATAAAAAAATGCAAATATAAGGTTTTATTAATAATTGCTTTATGTGTGTAAACGAAAATTGTTACATCCTTATTCTAGATGACAACAAATTATCATCTTGAGAAATCCTTAACAATTTCTTATAATTTCTAATAATCCTTTTAGTTCTATTAATTATAATTGATCCATTGTCTTATCTTGGTACCATTTGCTAAAAACGTGTGAGATGATAGCGTGTATTTCATATAAAAGACAAAGAACTACAAGACACTTCAATGAAGATAGCTGCACTTGAAGATGTCGCGACTAGTGGTGAGTATATAACCTTCTTATTGATTTTATTTATTGCCATCTCTATTATAAGACTTTAGTAAATTTGTTACCCTTCGAAAGCTTAGGATGATTTTAACTCAAGTATCCTGATAGATTTAAGATTTCTTACTATTAAGTATATTAAGTACTTAATATGAGGAAATTGCATATTCTAAATCAATAAAGATTTTAAGTGTAATGTTTAATAATGAAAATCATATTTACTTTGATTGTATAATGTGTACTGTAATTTATACTTTAATTATGTTTTATTCTTTTTGGTAAATCCAAATAAAGAAATTAAAATTTATTGTTCATAATTTATAATAAGCATTTTTTTTATAATTTGTTTGTTTATATAAAAACGTAGTTTCAAAGGCAAAATATTTGATTTCAGTCATGTCAGTCTAAAAATGGGTCAGTACTAGTGTACAATTTCCAAGGATCATTTACAACTAGCATAATGCTTTCCACTAATATATAGGCCGTAAATAGGACCAGATCAAAAAATCAAAGTACCAGTTATTTATATTTAATTTAAAAGTATAAGATTTTTGAAATTCATGTTAGTATGATGAATGGAAAATTAAGGAGTATGTTTTCCATTAAGTATTCCGATACGAATCTAATAAAAAAGACAATATACAAAAATAGAATTCTTCATCAAAAAGTTTGGTATAATTGCTTCAGTTTCATTCACTCTGGTTGAATTATGTAGAAACGTCTCCTAAGCTTGCTATCTTAGATGATACCTACTTAAATTATGTAAGACATTCTTGATTTTAACACGGGTTATTAAACTTCGTGAAATCATTCTCTTTAACTATTCTTGAAGGAATAGCATTTTGTCTTATGATGGTTTATAACGAAGTAATAATTTCAATAACATAGAATTCTACTTTTCTCCAACACGAAATAACTAGATATAATATTATTATATAAATATTATTGATCACAATGCTCACCATAATTTAAATTGTCACACTACATACATTGATTTAATATTTTTTTTAATTATTACATATTATATTTAATATTTTTTTATATTATTTTAGTTATTGAATGAAAAACTCCTTGAACCTACGTGGTTTGTCGATGTAAACTTGGGGGCCGTTCAAGTATTACGTAAGCACTATGGAGGGGCGGGGGGTCATTGGTTTGCTTATTTTGGATGACATGGGGGGTAGGGGAGTCTAGATGACAATTACGTCATCGGAAGTTATTTACTTTTTATCACCGCATCGAGAAGATCCATAAAAAAATATAATTATAATTTTATTATGAATTTATATTAAAAAAAAAAACAATACAGTAATTGAAAATGTTTACGTAAGCATAGGGGGAGGGGGAAAGAGCTTTGCTTACTTTTGCTGACAAGGGGGATGGAGGGGTAAACATTTGTAATAAATCTGCTTACGTAATACTTGAACGGCCCCTTATCCCAGGCATACAAAAAATCCTGTATCTTAAGGTAGCCATCTGTTTTGACATACAATGAAAATAATAATATGTTGTTCTATAACAAGGCAATAATATTGATTCCACAGATACTACTTTGCGCCCTGTTATTCACGACAGCAGTTTTATGTGAAGACCCTCCAGGTACAAAAGCGCTTTCAGATCATACCCAAGCAACCAAAATGCCGGAGCAGCCCAAAACATCTGATCAGCAGAAAGTCCATGATCAAACGAAAATGCATGAGCCGAAAATACATGATCAAAATGAAATGCACGAGCAACCTAGAATGCCAGAACAGCCAAAAATGCCAGAGCAGCCAAAAATGCATGAGCAACCAAAGATGCCGGATAGGAAAGTGCCAGGTTACAACTAGACAGTAATAGATTTATTCGGAAAATATTTTTTAGAGTATACAAAAACATTATATATTTACATTTATGGTCAGTTTATCAATATGGATATTATGAGTGGTTCTGTAAAAAGTATTTTCTGTAACATTAATTATTTTATTTAAACGAACATGGCAATCATTACGAGGACCAATTATCAAATAAACGTGAAACATATGCAGCTGCAATGAATTTTATTATTTTTGAAACCTTTAATAAATTCATTCAATTTTATCAAAAATGAAAACTTGCTATAATAAAAACTCTCCTTAAACCATATCATGATCGCAAACGGAATAAAAGCTTTTATTGCATCTGTTCAATAATTTGTAGTCTATATAACTTTTTTTTAATATACAAACCTGGTGATACTTTCAGCACATAATCTAGTTTCTAAATGAAAATAATTGACGAGAACATTACCAGTAAGTGAAGAACATTCTTATATATAAAATTATTATTATTAAATTAATAAATAAAAATAAATCAGAAACCTTCTTCTTTTCATTTATTTAAATTTTAATTGTTAATTTGCTTTATATTATGAAGCCTTTTTAATATTGAACTCAATGTGATACTAAACATCAGACATAATAGAAGAAGAGCCATGTTAGGGGTATGTTGTGTATTTACTCGAGCATTGTGAACACCTATTGGGTTGGAAAGCTTAGGTAATAAAATGAAAAAAAATATATGATGGATACTTTTTTATCGATGTCGAAGCGGCTATAGATTTTGAAAAATGTGAAAATAACTGTTGCTTAGACTTGTTCGAGCTCGACTATTTTAAATAATGTGCGTCTATTAAACTGGTCATTGAAATGAATGAGATGATAGTACGTAAGAGTTGACATTGTGAAAAAAAATAATTCAGCTCGTCAGGTTTTCTTAGGAGAATATTTACTACTAGTAGTTAATGAATACTTTGTTAATTATTATTATTTTGTTATGTTATTACTAATGAAGACAGTCCCTCACACATAATCATAGAAACTTCGTTTAAAAAATTCTGAGTCTCCATTATTTATCATCTTCAAAATCATTGAAGTAGATCTTTTGATGTTTTAAGATTTTAAGATTAGATTGTATAATGAGAAAGAAAAATCTAGAATTTGTATAATACATTAAAGAAAAACACCTATGCTACTTTTTCACGAATAAATAAATTGCGTATTTGTTATTCTTTACAATGACCTTAGATAAATAATAAACTTGTTTTCATAGCAATCAGTAGTTGAATAATAAAATATTGATCAATGATTTGATAATTATTAATGGTAAATAGTAACAGATTTATTTCTTACGTACGATCACCTCCACCATATCATCATAAGAACATAATAACAATTAACAAAGTATTCATTAATAAAGTCTTTCTTTCTTATATGAAGTTCATAGCAAGCCCTATAGTTCTAGTAGTTTAGTACTAGGGTAGAGTGCATTTTGTTACAAAGATAAAGATCGCCATACTATATAAGGCTTTAGTTCTACTTCCATCATTGTTGATGAAAGAAAATTCTATAAATAAAAACGAATAAACAATCCCTTATTGTATTATAAATAACAGAAATAGTCATACAAACTTAGAGTAAGGCAAGATGGATAAACGTGCTTGATGGAATATTGAACTGAATTAATCGAAGCTAGATTACTTTATAAATAAACATATTTGATTAAAACGATATCGAATTATAAAATTTATTTCACAATATTTATAAGAAGAGATTATTGAGACTAAAATAATAATTAACGTAATATGCCCTTTTTTATTTCACTATTGGTTCATCTTTGATGTTCGAAATATATTTGGGTGCTATTGGTTAATGTATAGTTTGAAGGACTGAAATAAAAAATAAATTATAGTATTTTATTTTCTATTCATGTAATTTCAAATAATTTCTTTTTAATATCCATGATCTTTGTAGCCGCCGTGTCCACCATTTCCGAAGCCTGCAAGAGAATAATAAATGAATAACATGTTCGTTTCAACACATTTAAAATAATATACACTTTATACTCGTTCTCAAAACGATTTCTTTTAGAAAGAAAAATCTTTTGGCTACTGTTTTACTTCGAGAGCTACCCAAGATAAAGTATTTATCTATTTTATTTATTTATTTATAAACAGATACTCCATCGGCTTATCATAATAGCTAACACAAGAATTACATGCACCAAGTATGAATCAGTATGATCAGCCCTTATAGGTGTATACAACATTGTTTTTTTATTTTTATTTTTATTTTTTCAATAGACATTCATTATTAAAGAAAAAACCTGAATCACCATGGCTTCCAAAGCCTCCTTGACCTGGTCCGGCTCCGTGTCCAGAGAAGCCTCCCTGATCGAATCCGCCCTGACCTGGTCCGCCTCCGTGTCCAGAGAAGCCTCCCTGATCGAATCCGCCCTGACCGTGTCCACCGTGACCAAACCCTCCTGCACCAGATCCTCCGCCACTAGGCCCAGAGAAACCTCCCTGACCAAACCCACTCTGACCATGTCCACCATGACCGAAGCCGCAATCGGATCCTCCGCCATTAGGTCCATAAAAGACACCCTGACCAAACCCATCCTGACCTCGTCCTCCATGACCAAAACCTTGACTAGAACCTCCTCCACCGTGACCATAGCCTCCATACGATGGATGCCCTTTTTGGAAAACGTTTATTATTTGTTAAAACTTGAGACAATATTCCACAAACAAAAAAACATTTAACTACATCATAATACGTGTTGATATATTCGTGTTGATCAAGTATAAGACAAAATTGTTAAACTGTATTGAAATTATAAAAAAAGACTTACCATTGGCTACCACCGCTAATATGAAGAGAAGACATATAGTCTGAAAGAAAATAAATAAGTAAGTATAGATTATACTATAGCATTGTGCTGTTACACGAATAATCGATTGAAATGAATTTAATAAACTTATTATTAATTACACTCATTTAATAAACATATCCCACTGTCATATAAATTTATATCCTTCTTATATGTATATTCAAAGTCACATATAGGTACATTTATAAACAATTACTATGTTTAAAAAAAATATATAATATACTCACTTTAAGAGACATCTTTATTTCTCGTTTATAACTTGTAAATAGGTCTAACTTTTAATTTATATAGAAAAGTCTTATCTATAGACTTAACTTAATTGACCCGTGCGGGCATGTTTATAAGCAATATGTTTATAGAGCTAATAAACACCACTCCTAATAATTAACATTTGATAAAAGTTAATTATTTAAACTCGAAGTTGCTTCATTTTTATTTTAATCCGAAATCAGTTTCTAAGTTTAATATTGCCTCTTGTGTGCTTGCAATTAAGTATCATATTTGATTCAGTTTCGAACAATCCAATGCCTTAGTGGACATTCATTAAAGTAAAAAATGGTTTAAATAAAACAAAATATTTAGGGAAATTCCATAACCTCAGATAAGAAGAATTGAACTTTTGATAGCTGGAACAAAAAACCAACGGTTTTCCCTTATCACATTTGTCGAAGCGATTTAGGACCAATAGAGAAGTCATCGGTGGATGTGCGGAGTGACGAGACTCGACAAAATCCGCAACGAGTACGTACTCGACAGTCTTGGTGTACGCAACGTCGCCGACAAGCTGCAAGAGAGCTTCGTTGGTATGGGCACATAAAGAAGAAGACCTCCTGACTATGTTGGAAATGTTATGGCCAATCTGAACATCACGGGATCCAGACCCAGAGGGCGGTCAAAGACAAGATGGACAGATGTGCTCAAAACAGATCTAAAGTTCTGCAAGGTTACCGAAGAGGACGCGTCCGACAGAGCGAAGTGGAAGAGAAGACCAGAAAGGCAGACCCCACCTTCAGATAGGAATAATAAATACCACGGAGAGAGAGAGAGAAGTCATCAGAAACATTTCGGAAAGCCCTTTTTTCTATTTTTTTTTTTTACAAAGGGGACAACCCAGTAGACGGCTTGCCAGATGGAGGTAGTACCGTTGGCCATGGACATACGCAACATAGTTTTGCGGATCTGTTACCACCCTTGATTAGGAAAGAGGGGAAGGAAAAAGTGGAAAAGGAAAGGGGTAGGAAAGGGTGGGAAAAGGGAAGGGACAACCGGCTCTCTCACTCATCGGACGAAACCAGCTAGTAAAGACTAGTTCCTGCCGATCTTCTGTGAGGTACTTCCCCAGTCGAGATAGCCCATGTTCGAGCTGCAGTAACTTAACCACAGCTAGGCTCTACCACCTACGTGCTTATTATTACTGTTAATTACTTTTTATTACTATTTATTCTTATTAACAATTTATTCGACTGTCGTATAGTTAGTGCTTCACCTTTGTTTACATCACTGATATACGGTGAAGGAAAACATCGTGAGGAAACCTGGACTTAGTTTAGAGTTAGACTGGAGTTTCACAATTATAAGTTTGAAATCACCGACCCGTCTTGAGCAAGCGTGGTGATTAATGCTCAAACCTTCTCCATTTGAGAAAGAGGCCTTGCTCAGCAGTGGGCTCTGATAGGCTGATGACACTATTTTATATCTTCAGAAAGAGGTCATGTTTAGATATTATTTCGTATGATGCGATAATATTTTGCACCAATTACTATGCAATATTATATGACAATAATATTTCTGTGTATGTTTGTTGCAGTTAACAACTTCATATAATATCTTCTATATATATAAAAATGGATTGCTGTTCCTTAGTCTCGCTAAAACTCGAGAACAGCTGAACGGATTTATCTTATCTTAGTCTTGAAATGATCGTGGAGGTTCAGGGAAGGTATAAAAGGTGAGAAAAATTGATTCATCACTGGGAAAACCCTAAAAACAGCCCTTTTCTATTTCCCATACAAATGTTTTCTTTGACATTAGATTTGACAACTAACTAATATGTCAATCATTCTGTTCGATTGAAACAGGAGAAACCTGATTATTTATGGCCTCTAGGACGGAATAGAGTTCGCCCGGTCAGCTATACATACATATATTACTAATGATGAAATTAACGCGGACGAAGTCGCGGGCAAAAACTAGTCTTCTATATATATGTATAAAAATGGATTGCTGTTCCTTAGTCTCGCTAAAACTCGAGAACCGATTGGGCTAATTTTAGTCTTGAAATACTCCTGGAAGTCCAGGGAAGGTTTAAAAGGTGAGAAAAATTGGAATAATTGCCGGGAAAACCCTAAAAACAGCCCTTTTCTATTTCCCATACAAAAGTTTTTTTTGACATAAGATTTGACATCTAACTAATATGTCAATCATTCTGTTTGATTGAAACAGGAAAAACCTGATTATTTATGGCCTCTTAGACGGAATAAAGTTCGTCTGGTCAGCTATACCTACATATATTACTCTTGACCAAACTTACGCCGACGAAGTCGCGGGCAAAAACTAGTCTGAAATAAAACTTATACAAGGATATATCTAAATCCTCAACTGAACATCGTTTAACATTTTAGTACTAGCAATAGGTCATAACTGTTTATTTTCTTAATACAAATAATAAAACAAAGCAATGACTTCGATCGGCTCGAATATTTAAAGGTGAAATCATATTATGAAGAGGTAGTTAATAATTATTAATTATGAGGTGGTTAAATTAAGAAGAGAAAAGTTAGGCGTTGTAAATCATCATAAATATGGATATAAAAAAAAACTTGTAGATGAACTGTAAGCAGATTATTTTACCAAAGATTTTGCTGGTGGTCAATATGTCCCTATGGCATAAATCATCACTTCGACTAGCACCTACTTTAATTATCTTACGATAAGTGTGAGCCTTGACAATAAGTGGGTAAAACAAAAGCATGTAACAGGCGTATGTTATACATACTTTATAATCTATATATATAAAAGAAAGTCGTGTTAGTTACTCCACTTATAACTCAAGAACGGCTGAACCGATTTGGCTGAAAATTGGTAGGGAGGTAGTTTAGAGCCAGGAGAATTACATAGAATACTTTTTATCCCGTTCGACAGCATTCCCGTGTGACTTGACTTGAAACGTCAGTACCTATAAAACGTGGTATAACAAAAAATAATCAGACCTGGAATAACAAAACGCAAATGACAGAGCCTATGTAATTGACGTATAATGACAGATATGTAATGACGTATGGATGACAATTTGATATTTGTAAGAAATCTATTTATATAAAAATTAATTGCTGTTCTTTAGTCTCACTAAACCTCGAGAACGGCTGAACGGATTTATCTTATCTTAGTCTTGAAATGTTCTTGGAGGTTCAGGGAAGCTGAAAAAAATTGATTAATTTCCGGGAAAACCGTAAAAAAGCCCTTTTTTATTTTCCATACAAACGTTTTTTTTAAATTAGATTTGACAACTAACTAATATATCAATCATTCTGTCGCACTTCAAAACACGGAGCTTTATGGGTTAAAGGTAAACTCCAAAAATATAAATAAAAAAACGTGACAGATATTTCATGATTATAGAGTGATACGAAGTTCGCCGGGTCTTCTAGTAATATTAAATTTCTAAAAAAATCGCTTTCTCTCTCGGTACGAATATTTTTCAGGAGTTTAGCATACACATCTTTATTTCCATACTGGATGTGTTTAAAGGAGTATATCCGGAACGCCGACGAAAAAGCGAACTAAGGTAGTCTAATAATAGCTGATCCCGAAAACCGCTCTTGATAAGGGTGACTGGGTTGTATATTTTTAAACCAAGTATCTTTAGTAAAACTTCTCTCATCAAAGATTTTGTTCATTAAACTTTTATATTTCTTTTTAATTCTGTATGAAAGATCCAAAAAATATGATGAATAGATTGTAAGTATTGAATTTGTTGTAGCTCTGTGTATTAAACAATCCACAAACTCGGTATGTTTCTAAACCTAGAAAGCCGCTTTAATTTAAAAAAATACTCTTTAATAATTCATTTTGTAAAAAAATATGTAATAATTCTACTAAAATGTTCACTTTCATTCTATATTCTTGAATGCAGATTTGAATTCTTCAATACTACTGAAAAAATGGACAAGGATTAATTCTTTTATATGTAATAATTTCCGAGTTCAAAATCGGTTTTTATGAACTCACCTTAAAACGCATAGCTTGCTACTAGATTTAAAATACTAAGTGAAACGTTATTATTACGTAATATTCACTCCATATATTTTTAAAAGTATCCTATACATGAACAAACGGTTACAAAAAAATACATCATTGTAAAAGTAAATCATAATATGTATAGTTTGGTTCCTTTTACTGATAACGTCAAATACGTGAAATGATTGTTTTAAATTAAACAAGAAAATGACATGTCTTCTGTAATCAGCATTGACCTGTTAAATTGTTTTTAAACATGTTACATTGAATCTTGCATCATAAAGTTGAGATATTCAAGTTTAAAGCTTCTCATTTTTACATAGTGATATCTAGACAAGCAGTAGAGTGTCAAGGTATGAAAGGTGTCAAGCCAAGTGCAAGCAAAGCAACTGGCTAGCCAGCACCGATTGTATCATTACACCAACCACTTGGTGCCTCTTTTGACCTTTGGCAGTCCATGGAATGTTAAGAAACTTTCGTCAGTGAATATCTATCTACATCCATTATTATAAGTTAAGAGGTTTTTGTACAAATAATATGTAAAAGAAAATATATTTTCGTCTTACCCAAAAAACTTTCGGTTTTGTAAATAAAAGTTGTTAATATTAGTGAATTTGATAATTAGTTAAGAACGAGAACCAATTAAATCATACCAAAATATCTTCGGGGTAGCACCCTTGTATGGATAAATATTGTCCAACGGGTCATTTCGATGACTTCGTGATATCATCACCTCGCCGCTAAAAGTGCCCGTACCACGTGACAAATATTAAACAATAGCTATCCATAATGAAATCTAGTACTTTCGCGAATATTCACTTAAATAAAACTAATATTTTTCGGATTATAATGTTATGCCGGGACCTCCCCCATTCTCCGAGGGAGTAAGTCCGGTCTTTGCCAGGATCGGCCAGTCGCTGGTGTGCCCTGTCGCTGACAGATCCGGGGTACACTGACATAATTCAATTTGCAACTTAATGGCTGATGGCTTTCGCAGTAGATTATAATGTGCATAATTTATTATTATAAAAACTACATACCCAGGAAGTTTCAGTTACTTTGCAGCGACTCTCATCACGAGATACGCAGTGTATAATAAGAAAAATATTAGTTTCATTTTAATTGTTATCTAATCATCAAAACGATCACAAAATATTGGGTATGTGCAAATCATGAGTTTGTTGAAACGATTTAATTTTAGTTGAATATACATTTAACTCAGTCTTTTTACTTTCCTACAAAATTAAGTTGATTTGTCCGTACGGAAATACGTAAAAAAATCTAAGCACTTATATGTATATGAATTGAAGCTCAATTTTGTTAAGTTATATATTTATTATGGAAACAAGAATAAAACTCAAGGTTATGAAAAATAAATATATAATGCTCATTATTATATCACAAAACGAAACTAATTGTAATTTACAATGCTATTATTTCCAAAGGCATATCGTTTTAATGATTGCATTGCCTCCAAGAAAGTTCTTTTCTTAAAAAGACTTTTCAGTAATATGTACTTCTATTTTAAGTTAATGTATAAGTTTTCTAGTGTACCTACGTATTAGTAAATGTGTACTTTTCCGTGAGACACTAACACCCTCTAGTAATTATAAACTGTATAAAATTAGTTTTATTCATATAAGGGGGATTCTACGGGAAAGTAAACTTGATATAATTTTTAAAATTTTTCTTTTTTTAAATTATTATATGTATCGATACAAAATACTTAAAATTGCACGATACTTTAAAAAATATTAGTATATTAATATTTTTCTATTTTTTATTAAGTTGCAAATTGAATTATGAATCTAATGCTGATTTGCATCTGAAAAGATGCAAAGCTGTCAAGCTGAGTGTTTAAAATGTATACCTTAGTTTAAATTGTCACCATATGCTCACCATAGTTTAAATTGTCACACTGCATACAATGATTTAATATTTTTTTCAATCATATTCAATAATTTTAGTTATTGAATGAAAAACTCCTCGTACGTGGTTTGTCGATGTAAACTTGTCCCAGGCATACAAAAAATCCTGTATCTCAGGGTAGTCATGTGTTTTAACATACAATGAAAATAATATTATGTTGTTCTATAACGAGGCAATAATATTGATTCCACAGATACTACTTTGCGCCCTGTTATTCACGACAGCAGTTTTATGCGAAGACCTTCCAGCTACAAAAGGGCCTTCAGATCATACCCAAGCAACCAAACCACCTGATCAGCAGAAAGTCCATGATCTAACGAAAATGCATGAGCCGAAAATACATGATCAAAATAAAATGCACGAGCAATCTAGAATGCCAGAACAGCCAAAATTGCCAGAGCAGCCAAAAATGCATGAGCAACCAAAGATGCCGGATATGAAAGTGCCAGGTTACAACTAGACAGTAATAGGTTTATTCGGAAAATATTTTTTAGAGTATACAAAAACATTATATATTTACATTTATGGTCAGTTTATCAATATGGGTGTTATGAGTGGTTCTGTAAAAAGTATTTTCTGTAACATTAATTATTTTATTTAAACGAACATGGCAATCATTACGAGGACCAATTATCAAATAAACGTGAAACATATGCAGCTGCAATGAATTTTATTATTTTTGAAACCTTTAATAAATTCATAAAATTTTATTTTAACTCTTAAACTGGCTAATATAAAATAACTCTAGTCAAAACATATTATGATCGTAAGCGAAGTAAAATTTTTATTTTTTGCCATAATATGTTCAATTTCTTTTCTATTTAACTTTTTTTATATACAAACCTAATAATACTTTCAGCACATACATGTAAATTAGTTTCTAAATTAAAATAATTGATGAGAACATTACGAGTAAGTGAAGAACATATTCATAAATAAAATTATTATTATTAAATTAATCAACAAAATAAATCAGAAAACTTATTCTTCAAGTTATTTTAATTGTTCATTTGCTTTATATTATGATGCCTGTTTAATATTAAACGCAATGTGATACAAAACATCAGACCTAATAGAAGAAGAGCTATGTTCTGAGTATGTTGTGTATTTACTCGAGCATTCCGGACACGTATTATGTTACAAAATTTAGGTAATAAAAAGAAAAAATGTTATATGATGGATACTTATAACATATATAGAATATTATAGAATATTTACTATATAGAATATATATTTACTATATTATATTATATAGAATATTTACTACTAGTAGTTAATGAATACTTTGTTAATTATTATTATTTTGTTATGTGATTACTAATGAAGACAGTCCCTCACAAATAATCCTAGAAACTTCGTTTAAAAAATATGAATCTCCATTATTTATCTTCTTCAAAATCATTGAAGTAGATCTTTTGATGTTTTAAGATTAGAAGATTAGATTATACAATGAGAAAGAAAAATCTAGAATTTGTATAATACATTAAAGAAAAACACCTACGCTCCTTTTTCACGAATAAATAAATTGCGTATTTGTTGTTCTTTACAAATACGTAAGATGACCTTAGATAAATAATAAACTTGTTTTCATAGCAATCAGTAGTTAAATAATAAAATATTGATCAATGATTTGATAATTATTAATGGTAAATAGTAACAGATTTATTTCTTACGTACGATCACCTCCACCATATCATCATAAGAACATAATATGTACCAATTAACAAAGTATTCATTAATAAAGTCTTTCTTTCTTATATGAAGTTCATTAGCAAGCCCTATAGTTCTAGTAGTTTAGTACTAGGGTAGAGTGCATTTTGTTACAAAGATAAAGATCGCCATACTATATAAGGCTTTAGTTCTACTTCCATCATTGTTGATGAAAGAAAATTTTATAAATAAAAACGAATAAACAATCCCTTATAGTATTATAAATAACAGAAATAGTCATACAAACTTAGAGTAAGGCAAGATGGATAAACGTGCTTGATGGAATATTGAACTGAATTAGACGAAGCTAGATTACTTTATAAATAAACATATTTGATTAAAACGATATCGAATTATAAAATTTATTTATGAGAAGAGATTATTGAGACTAAAATAATAATTAACGTAATATGCCCTTTTTTATTTCACTATTGGTTCATCTTTGATATTCGAAATATATTTGGGTGCTATTGATTAATGTATAGTTTGGAAAACTGAAATAAAAAATAAATTATTCTATATTATTATTTATTCAATTAATTTCAAATAATTTCTTTTTAATATCCATGATTTTTGTAGCCGCCGTGTCCACCATTTCCGAAGCCTGCAAGACAATAATAAATGAATAACATGTTCGTTTCAACACATTTAAAATAATATATACTTTATACTCGTTCTCAAAACGATTTCTTTTAGAAAGAAAAATCTTTTGTCTACTGTTTTACTTCGAGAGCTACCTAAGTATAAAGTATTTTTTCAATAGACACTCATTATTAAAGAAAAAACCTGAATCATCATGGCTTCCAAAGCCTCCTTGACCTGGTCCGCCTCCGTGTCCAGAGAAGCCTCCCTGATCGAATCCGCCCTGACCGTGTCCACCGTGACCAAACCCTCCTGAACCAGATCCTCCGCCACTAGGCCCAGAGAAACCTCCCTGACCAAACCCACTCTGACCATGTCCACCATGACCGAAGCCGCAATCGAATCCTCCGCCACTAGGTCCAGAAAAGTCACCCTGACCAAACCCATCCTGACCTCGTCCTTCATGACCAAAACCTTGACTAGAACCTCCTCCACCGTGACCATAGCCTCCATAGGATGGATGCCCTTTTTGGAAAACGTTTATTATTTGTTAAAACTTGAGACAATATTCCACAAACAAAAAAACATTTAACTACATCATAATACGTGTTGATATATTCGTGTTGATCAAGTATAAGACAAAATTGTTAAACTGTATTGAAATTATAAAAAAAGACTTACCATTGGCTACCACCGCTAATATGAAGAGAAGACATATAGTCTGAAAGAAAATAAATAAGTAAGTATAGATTATACTATAGCATTGTGCTGTTACACGAATAATCGATTGAAATGAATTTAATAAACTTATTATTAATTACACTCATTTAATAAACATATCCCACTGTCATATAAATTTATATCCTTCTTATATGTATATTCAAAGTCACATATAGGTACATTTATAAACAATTACTATGTTTAAAAAAAATATATAATATACTCACTTTAAGAGACATCTTTATTTCTCGTTTATAACTTGTAAATAGGTCTAACTTTTAATTTATATAGAAAAGTCTTATCTATAGACTTAACTTAATTGACCCGTGCGGGCATGTTTATAAGCAATATGTTTATAGAGCTAATAAACACCACTCCTAATAATTAACATTTGATAAAAGTTAATTATTTAAACTCGAAGTTGCTTCATTTTTATTTTAATCCGAAATCAGTTTCTAAGTTTAATATTGCCTCTTGTGTGCTTGCAATTAAGTATCATATTTGATTCAGTTTCGAACAATCCAATGCCTTAGTGGACATTCATTAAAGTAAAAAATGGTTTAAATAAAACAAAATATTTAGGGAAATTCCATAACCTCAGATAAGAAGAATTGAACTTTTGATAGCTGGAACAAAAAACCAACGGTTTTCCCTTATCACATTTGTCGAAGCGATTTAGGACCAATAGAGAAGTCATCGGTGGATGTGCGGAGTGACGAGACTCGACAAAATCCGCAACGAGTACGTACTCGACAGTCTTGGTGTACGCAACGTCGCCGACAAGCTGCAAGAGAGCTTCGTTGGTATGGGCACATAAAGAAGAAGACCTCCTGACTATGTTGGAAATGTTATGGCCAATCTGAACATCACGGGATCCAGACCCAGAGGGCGGTCAAAGACAAGATGGACAGATGTGCTCAAAACAGATCTAAAGTTCTGCAAGGTTACCGAAGAGGACGCGTCCGACAGAGCGAAGTGGAAGAGAAGACCAGAAAGGCAGACCCCACCTTCAGATGGGAATAATAAATGCCACGGAGAGAGAGAGAGAAGTCATCAGAAACATTTCGGAAAGTCCTTTTTTCTATTTTTTTTTTTACAAAGGGGACAACCCAGTAGACGGCTGGCCAGATGGAGGTAGTACCGTTGCCCATGGACATACGCAACATAGTTTTGCGGATGCGTTACCACCCTTGATTAGGAAAGAGGGGAAGGAAAAAGTGGAAAAGGAAAGGGTGGGAAAAGGGAAGGACAACCGGCTCTCTCACTCATCGGACGAAACCAGCTAGTAAAGACTAGTTCATGCCGATCTTCTGTGAGGTACTTCCCCAGTCGAGATAGCCCATGTTCGAGCTGCAGTAACTTAACCACAGCTAGGCTCTACCACCTACGTGCTTATTATTTATTATTACTGTTAATTACTTTTTATTACAATTTATTCTTATTAACAATTTATTCGACTGTCGTATAGTTAGTGCTTAACCTTTGTTTACATCACTTATATACGGTGAAGGAAAACATCGTGAGGAAACCTGGACTTAGTTTAGAGTTAGACTGGAGTTAGACAATTATAAGTTTGAAATCACCGACCCGTCTTGAGCAAGCGTGGTGATTAATGCTCTAACCTTCTCCATTTGAGAAAGAGGCCTTGCTCAGCAGTGGGCTCTGATAGGCTGATGACACTATTTTATATCTTCAGAAAGAGGTCATGTTTAGATATTATTTCGTATGATGCGATAATATTTTGCACCAATTACTATGCAATATTATATGACAATAATATTTCTGTGTATGTCTGTTGCAGAAAACAACTTCATATAATATAATCTGAAATAAAACTTATACAAGGATATATCTAAATCCTCAACTGAACATCGTTTAACATTTTAGTACTAGCAATAGGTCATAACTGTTTACTTTCTTAATACTAATAATAAAACAAAGCAATGACTTCGATCGCCTCGAATATTTGAAGGTGAAATCATATTATGAAGAGGTAGTTAATAATTAATTATAAGAAGGTTAAATTAAGAAGAGAAAAGTTACGCGTTGTAAATCATCACAAATATGGATATACAAAAAAACTTATAGATGAACTGTATGCAGATTATTTTACCATAGATTTTGTTGGTTGTCAATATGTCCCTATGGCATAAATCAACACTTCGACTAGCACCTACTTTCATTATCTTACGATAAGTGTGAGCCTTGACAATAAGTGGGCAAAACAAAAGCATGTAACAGGCGTATGTTATACATACTTTATAATCTATATATATAAAAGAAAATCGTGTTAGTTACTCCACTTATAACTCAAGAACGGCTGAACCGATTTGGCTGAAAATTGGCAGGGAGGTAGTTTAGAGCCAGGAGAATTACATAGAATACTTTTTATCCCGTTCGACAGCATTCCCGTGTGACTTGACTTGAAACGTCAGTACCTATAAAACGTGGTATAACAAAAAATAATCAGACCTGGAATAACAAAACGCAAATGACAAAGCCTATATAATTGACGTATAATGACAGATATGTAATGACGTATGGATGACAATTTGATATTTGTAAGAAATCTATTTATATAAAAATTAATTGCTGTTCTTTAGTCTCACTAAACCTCGAGAACGACTGAACGGATTTATCTTATCTTAGTCTTGAAATGTTCTTGGAGGTTCAGGGAAGCTGAAAAAAATTGATTAATTTCCGGGAAAACCCTAAAAAAGCCCTTTTTTATTTTCCATACAAATGTTTTTTTTAAATTAGATTTGACAACTAACTAATATATCAATCATTCTGTCGCACTTCAAAACACGGAGCTTTATGGGTTAAAGGTAAACTCCAAAAATATAAATAAAAAAACGTGACAGATATTTCATGATTATAGAGTGATACGAAGTTCGCCGGGTCTTCTAGTAATATTAAATTTCTAAAAAAATCGCTTTCTCTCTCGGTACGAATATTTTTCAGGAGTTTAGCATACACATCTTTATTTCCATACTGGATGTGTTTGAAGGAGTATATCCGGAACGCCGACGAAAAAGCGAACTAAGATAGTCTGACTGAATAATTGATCCCGAAAACCGATCTTGATAAGGGTGACTGGGTTGTATATTTTTAAACCAAGTACCTTTAGTAAAACTTCTCTCATCAAAGATTTTGTTCATTAAACTTTTATATTTCTTTTTAATTCTGTATGAAAGATCCAAAAAATATGATGAATAGATTGTAAGTATTGAATTTGTTGTAGCTCTGTGGATTAAACAATCCTCAAACTCGGTATGTTTCTAAACCTTGAAAGCCCCTTTAATTTAAAAAAATACTCTTTAATAATTCATTTTGTAAAAAAATATGTAATAATTCTACTAAAATTTTCACTTTCATTCTACATTCTTGAATGCAGATTTGAATTCTTCAATACTACTGAAAAAATGGACAAAGATTAATTCTTTTATATGTAATAATTTCCGAGTTCAGAATCGGTTTTTATGAACTCACCTTAAAACGCATAGCTTGCTACTAGATTTAAAATACTAAGTGAAATGTTATTATTACGTAATATTCACTCCATATATTTTTAAAAGTATCCTATACATAAACAAACGGTTACAAAAAAATACATCATTGTAAAAGTAAATCATAATATGTATAGTTTGGTTCCTTTTACTGATAACGTCAAATACGTGAAATGATTGTTTTAAATTAAACAAGAAAATGACATGTCTTCTGTAATCAGCATTGACCTGTTAAATTGTTTTTAAACATGTTATATTAAATCTTGCATCATAAAGTTGAGATATTCAAATTTAAAGCTTCTCATTTTTACATAGTGATATCTAGACACACAGTAGAGTGTCAAGGTATGAAAGGTGTCAAGCCAAGTTCAAGCAAAGCAACTGGCTAGCCAGCACCGATTGTATCATTACACCAACCACTTGGTGCCACTTTTGACCTTTGGTAGTGTATGGAATGCTAAGAAGCTTTCGTTAGTGAATATCTGTCTACATCCATTATTACAACTTAACAGGTTTTTGTACGAATAATCTGTAAAAAAAATATACATATTTTCGTCTTACCCAAACAAATTTTCTGTTTTGTAAATAAAAGTTATTAATATTAGTGAATTTGATAATTACCTAGTTAAGAACGAGAACCAATTAAATCATACCAAAATATCTTCGGGGTAGCACCCTTGTATGGATAAATATTGTACAACGGGTCATTTCGATGACTTCGTGATATCATCACCTCGCCGCTAAAAGTTTACGTGCCACGTGACAAATATTAAACAATAGTTATCCATAATGAGATCTAGTACTTTCGCGAATATTCACTTAAATAAAACTAATATTTTTCGGATTATAATGTTATGCCGGGATCTCCCCCATTCTCCGAGGGAGTAAGTCCGGTCTTTGCCAGGATCGGCCAGTCGCTGGTGTGCCCTGTCGCTGACAGATCCAGGGTACACTGACATAGCGGCCGATGGCTTTCGCAGTAGATTATAATGTGCATAATTTATTATTATAAAAACTACATACCCAGGAAGTTTCGGTTACTTTGCAGCGACTCTCATCACGAGATACGCAGTGTATAATAAGAAAAATATTAGTTTCATTTTAATTGTTATCTAATCATCAAAACGATCACAAAATATTGGGTATGTGCAGATCATGAGTTTGTTGAAACGATTTAATTTTAGTTTAATATACATTTAACTCAGTCTTTTTACTTTCCTACAAAATTAAGTTGATTTGTCCGTACGGAACTACGTAAAAAAATCTAAGCACTTATATATGAATTGAAGCTCAATCTTGTTAAGTTATATATTTATTATGGAAACAAGAATAAAACTCAAGGTTATGAAAAATAAATATGTATATAATGCTCATTATTATATCACAAAACGAAACTAATTGTAATTTACAATGCTATTATTTCCAAAGGCATATCGTTTTAACGATTGCATTGCCTCCAAGAAAGTTCTTTTCTTAAAAAGACTTTTCAGTAATATGTACTTCTATTTTAAGTTAATGTATAAGTTTTCTAGTGTACCTACGTATTAGTAAATGTGAACTTTTCCGTGAGACACTAACACCCTCTAGTAATTATAAACTGTATAAAATTAGTTTTATTCATATAAGGGGGATTCTACGGGAAAGTAAACTTGATATAATTTTTAAAATTTTTCTTTTTTTTTTAAATTATTATATGTATCGATACAAAATACTTAAAATTGCACGATACTTTGAAAAATATTAGTATATTAATATTTTTCTATTTTTTATTAAGTTGCAAATTGAATTATGAATCTAATGCTGATTTGCATCTGAAAAGATGCAAAGCTGTCAAGCTGAGCGTTTAAAATGTATACCTTAGTTTAAATTGTCACCATATGCTCACCATAGTTTAAATTGTCACACTGCATACAATGATTTAATATTTTTTTCAATCATATTCAATAATTTTGGTTATTGAATAAAAAACTCCTCGTACGTGGTTTGTCGATGTAAACTTGTCCCAAGCATACAAAAAATCCTGTATCCCAGGGTAGCCATGTGTTTTGACATACAATGAAAATAATAATATGTTGTTCTATAACAAGGCAATAATATTGATTCCACAGATACTACTTTGCGCCCTGTTATTCACGACAGAAGTTTTATGTGAAGACCCTACAGGTACAAAAGGGCCTTCAGATCATACCCAAGCAACCAAACCACCTGATCAGCAGAAAGTCCATGATCAAACGAAAATGCGTGAGCCGAAAATACATGATCAAAATAAAATGCACGAGCAACCTAGAATGCCAGAACAGCCAAAAATGCCAGAGCAGCCAAAATGCATGAGCAACCAAAGATGCCGGATATGAAAGTGCCAGGTTACAACTAGACAGTAATATGTTTATTCGGAAAATATTTTTTAGAGTATACAAAAACATTATATATTTACATTTATGGTCAGTTTATCACTATGGATGTTATGAATTGTTCTGTAAAAAGTATTTTTTGTAACATTAATTATTTTATTTAAACGAACATGACAATCATTACGAGGACAAATTATCAAATAAACGTGAAACATATGCAGCTGCAATGAATTTTATTATTTTTGAAACCTTTAATAAATTCATAAAATTTTATCTTAACTCTTAAACTGGCTAATATAAAATAACTCTAGTCAAAACATATTATGATCGTAAGCGAAGTAAAATTTTTATTTTTTGCCATAATATGTCCAATTTCTTGTCTATTTCACTTTTCTTATATACAAACCTAATAATACTTTCAGCACATAATCTAGTTTCTAAATTAAAATAATTGATGAGAACATTACCAGTAAGTGAAGAACATTTTTATAAATAAAATTATTATTATTAAATTAATCAACAAAAATAAACCAGAAAACTTATTCTTCAAGTTATTTTAATTGTTCATTTGCTTTATATTATGATGCCTGTTTAATATTAAACGCAATATGATACTAAACATCAGACCTAATAGAAGAAGAGCTATGTTCTGAGTATGTTGTGTATTTACTCGAGCATTGCGGACACGTTTTATGTTGCAAAAATTAGGTAATAAACAGAAAAAATGTTATATGATGGATACTTTTTTATCGCTGTCGAAGCGGCTATAGATTTTGAAAAATGTGAAAATAACTGTTGCTTAGACTTGATCGAGCTCGAGTATTTTAAATAATGTGCGTCTATTAAACTGGTCATTGAAATGAATGAGATGATAGTACGTAAGAGTTGACAACGAGAAAAAAATAATTCAGCTCGTCAGATTTTCTTAGGAAACTATTTACTACTAGTAGTTAATGAATACTTTGTTAATTGTTATTTTTTTGTTATGTGATTACTAATGAAGACAGTCCCTCACACATAATCCTAGAAACTTCGTTTCAAAAATTCTGAGTCTCCATTATTTATCATCTTCGAAATCATTGAAGTAGATCTTTTGATGTTTTAAGATTTTAAGATTAGATTATACAATGAGAAAGAAAAATCTAGAATTTGTATAATACATTAAAGAAAAACACCTACGCTACTTTTTCACGACTAAATAAATTGCGTATTTGTTATTCTTTACAAATACGTAAGATGACCTTAGATAAATAATAAACTTGTTTTCATAGCAATCAGTAGTTGAATAATAAAATATTGATCAATGATTTGATAATAATTATTAATGGTAAATAGTAACAGATTTATTTCTAACGTACGATCAGCTCCACCATATCATCATAAGAATATAATAACAATTAACAAAGTATTCATTAATAAAGTCTTTCTTTCTTATATGAAGTTCATTAGCAAGCCCTATAGTTCTAGTACTTTAGTACTAGGGTAGAGTGCATTTTGTTACAAAGATAAAGATCGCCATACTATATAAGGCTTTAGTTCTACTTGCATCATTGTTGATGAAAGAAAATTCTATAAATAAAAACGAATAAACAATCCCTTATTGTATTATAAATAACAGAAATAGTCATACAAACTTAGAGTAAGGCAAGATGGATAAACGTGCTTGATGGAATATTGAACTGAATTAGACGAAGCTACATTACTGTATAAATAAACATATTTGATTAAAACGATATCGAATTATAAAATTTATTTCACAATATTTATGAGAAGAGATTATTGAGACTAAATTAATTAACGTAATATGCCCCTTTTTATTTCACTATTGGTTCATCTTTGATGTTCGAAATATATTTGGGTGCTATTGTTTAATGTATAGTTTGGAAGACTGAAATAAAAAATAAATTATAGTATTTTATTTTCTATTCATGTAATTTCAAACAATTTCTTTTTAATATCCATGATCTTTGTAGCCGCCGTGTCCACCATTTCCGAAGCCTGCAAGAGAATAATAAATGAATAACATGTTCGTTTCAACACATTTAAAATAATATACACTTTATACTCGTTCTCAAAACGATTTCTTTTAGAAAGAAAAATCTTTTGATAACTGTTTTACTTCGAGAGCTACCTAAGTATAAAGTATTTTTTCAATAGACACTCATTATTAAAGAAAAAACCTGAATCACCATGGCTTCCAAAGCCTCCTTGACCTGGTCCGCCTCCGTGTCCAGAGAAGCCTCCCTGATCGAATCCGCCCTGACCTTGTCCACCATGACCAAACCCTCCTGAACCAGATCCTCCGCCACTAGGCCCAGAGAAACCTCCCTGACCAAACCCACTCTGACCATGTCCACCATGACCGAAGCTGGAACCGGATCCTCCGCCACTAGGTCCAGAAAAGCCACCCTGACCAAACCCATCCTGACCTTGTCCTCCATGACCAAAACCTTGACTAGAACCTCCTCCACCGTGACCATAGCCTCCATAGGATGGATGCCCTTTTTGGAAAACGTATATTAGTTGTTAAAACTTGAGACAATATTCCACAAACAAAAACACATTTAACTACATCATAATACGTGTTGATCAAGTATAAGACAAAATTGTTAAACTGTATTGAAATTATAAAAAAAGACTTACCATTGGCTACCACCGCCAATATGAAGAGAAGACATATAGTCTGAAAGAAAATAAATAAGTAAGTATAGATTATACTATTGTGCTGTTACACGAATAATCGATTGAAATGAATTTAATAAACTTATTATTAATTACACTCGTTTAATAAACATATCCCACTGTCATATAAATTTATATCCTTCTTATATATTCAAAGTCATAAATAAACAATTGCTATTAAATATATAACATACTCACTTTAAGAGACATCTTTATTTCTCGTTTATAACATTTAAACAGATCTAACTTTTAATTTATATAGAAAATTCTTATCAATAGACTTAACTTAATTGACCCGTGCGTACATGTTTATAAGCAATATGTTTATAGAGCTAATAAACACCACTCCTATTAATTAACATTTGATAAAAGTTAATTATTTTATTGTGTATTTTTTTTTAATTTATCATTTAAACTCGAAGTTGGTAAATTTTTATTTTACACCAAAACCAGTTTTTAAGTTTAATATTGCCTCTTGTGTGCATGCAATTAAGTATCATATTTGATTCAGTTTCGAACAATCCAATGCCTTAGTAGACATTCATTAAAGTAAAAAATGGTTTAAATAAAACAAAATATTTAGGGAAATTCCATAACCCCAGATAAGAAGAATTGAACTTTTGATAGGTGGAACAAAAAACCAACGGTTTTCCCTTATCGCATTTGTCGAAGCGATTTAGGACCAATAGAGAAGTCATCGGTGGATGTGCGGAGTGACGAGATTCGACAAAATCCGCAACGAGTACGTCCGCGGCAGTCTTGGTGTACGCAACATCGCCGACAAGCTGCAAGAGAGCAGACTTCGTTGATTTCGGGCTTGACTCGGGTTGACTTCGGGCACATAAAGAAGAAGACCTCCTGACTATGTTGGAAATATTATCGCCAATCTGAACATCACTGGATCCAGACCCAGAGGGCGGCCAAAGACAAGATGGACAGAAGACAGAAGAGGACGCGTCTGACAAAGCCAAGTGGAAGACAAATACCAGAAAGGCAGACGCCACCATCAGATGATGGGAATAATAAATGCCCCTGAGAGAGAGAAAGAAGTCATCAGAAACATTCAGTGAGGCCCTTTTTTCTATTTAGTCTTATTTATTTTTTTACAAAGGGGACAACACAGAAGACGGCTGGCCTGATGGATGTAGTACCACTGCCCATGGACATACGAAACATAGTTTTGCGGATGCGTTGCCACCCTTGATTAGAGAAGAGGGGAAGGAATAAGTGGAAAAGGGAAGCGGTAGGAAAGCGTGGGAAAAAGGAAGGGACAATCGGCTCTCTCACTCATCGGACGAAACCAGCCATTAAAAACTAGTTCATGCCGATCTTCTGTGAGGTAATTTACCAGTCGAGATAGCCCATGTTCGAGGTGCAGTAACTTGACCACAGCTAGGCTCTACCACCTACGTGCTTATTATTACTTATTACTGTTAATTACTTTTTATTTCTCTTTATTCTTATTTCCAATTAATTCGGCTGTCGTATAGTTAGTGCTTAACCTTTGTTTACATTATAATTGATATATAATTATACATCATTACTATTTTATATCTTCAGAAAGAGGTCATGTTTAGTTATTATTTCGTATGATGCGATAATATTTTGCACTAATAACTATGCAATATCATGACAATTAAATTTCTGTGTATGTCTGTTGAAGAAAACAACTTCATATGTATAATATAATCTGAAATAAAAATTTATAAGGATAAATCTAAAACCTAAACTGAACATCGTTTTAACATTATAGTACTAGTAATACGTCATAGCTGTATTAACTTTCTTAATACAAATAATAAAACGAAGCAATAACTTCAATCGCCTTGAATTTTTAAAGGTGAAATCATATTATGAAGAAGTAGGTAATGATTTATTATAAGAAGTTTAAATTAAGAAGAGAAAAGTTAGGCGTTGTAAATCATCATAAATATGGATAGACAAAAAGTTAAACTGTACGCAGATTATTTTACATTAGATTTTGCTGGTGGTCAATATGTCCCTATGGCATAAATCATCACTTCAACTAGCACCTACTTTAGTTATATTACGATAGGTGTGAGCCTTCGCAAATATTGGGCAAAACAAAAGCATGTAATAGGCGTATGTTATATAAACTTCATAATAATATTAAATTTCTAAAAAAATCGCTTTCTCCCTCGGTACGAATACGTTTCAGGAGTTTAATATAGACATCTTTGTTTCCATACTTATGTACTGTGTTTAAAGGAGTATATCCGGAACGCCGACGAAAAAGCGAACTAAGATAGTCTAATGATAACTGATCCCGGAAACCGATCTTGATAAGGGTGACTGGGTTGTATATTTTTAAACCAAGTACCTTTATTAAAACTTCTCTCATCAAAGATTTTGTTCATTAAACTTTTATATTTCTTTTTTATTCTGTATGAAAGATCCAAAAAATATGATAAATAGTATGTTAGTATTCAATTTGTTGTAGCTTTGATGATTAAACAATCCACAAATTCGGTATGTTTTGAAACCTACAAAGCCCCTTTAATTTAAAAACTACTCTTTAATATTTTGAGACATGTACCTTAATTTCTCAAAATATTGAAACGTAATTTTATATTTAGTTGTAGGAATTAGTTCATTTTGTAAAAAATATATAATAATTCTATGTACATGTGATATGCGCATTTTAATTCTTCATTCTTGAATGCGGATTTGTATTCGTCAATACTACTGAAAAAATGAAATGGACAAAGATAAATTCTTTTATAATAATTCCCGAGATCAAAATGGGTGCCGTTTTTATGAACCCACCTTAAAACGCATAGCTTGCTACTAGATTTGATAAGTATATACTTAGTAAAGTGGAATGTTACGAGTATCTTATGAATGATTCAACCAATCGCCAGATAATTATTACGTAATATTCACTCAATATGTTTTTAATAATATCCTATACATGAACAAACGGTTACAAAAAAATACATCATTGTAAAAGTAAATCCTTATATGTATAGTTTGGTTCCTTTTACTGATAACGTCAAATACGTGAAATGATTGTTTTAAATTAAACAAGAAAATGACATGTCTTCTGTAATCAGCATTGACCTGTTAAATTGTTTTTAAACATGTTACATTGAATCTTGCATCATAAAGTTGAGATATTCAAGTTTAAAGCTTCTCATTTTTACATAGTGATATCTAGACACGCAGTAGAGTGTCAAGGTATGAAAGGTGTCAAGCCAAATTCAAGCAAACCAACTGGCTAGCCTGCACCGATTATATCATTACACGAACCATTTGGTGCCTCTTTTTACCTTTGGCAGTCCATGTAATGTTAAGAAACTTTCGTCAGTGAATATCTATCTACATCCATTATTAGGTATAAGTTAAGAGGTTTTTGTACAAATAATTTGTAAAAGAAAATATATTTTCGTCTTACCCAAACAAACTTTCGGTTTTGTAAATAAAAGTTGTTAATATTACTGAATTTGATAATTAGTTATGAACGAGAACCAAATAAATCATACCAAAATATCTCCGGGGTAACACCCTTGTATGGATAAATATTGTATAACAGATAACGTCGATGACTCCTTGATATTATCACCTCGGCGCAGAAAGTTTACTTACCACGAGACAAACATTAAAACAATTGTAACCCATAATGAGATCTAGGACTTTCGAGAGTATTCATTTAAATAAAACTATTATTTTTCATATTATAATACGCATATTTTATTATTGTAAAAACTACATACTCCCGAAGTTTCGGTTACTTTGCAGCGTCCCTCATCATGCGATACGCGTAGTATTAAAAATATTAGTTTCATTTTAATTGTTATCTAATCATCAAAATTATCACAAAATATTGGGTATGTGCAGATCATGAGTTTGTTGAAACGATTTAATTTTAGTTGAATGTACATTTAACTCAGTCTTTTTACTTTCCTACAAAATTAAGTTGATTTGTCCGTACGGAACTACGTAAAAAAATCTAAGCACTTATATATGAATTGAAGGTCAGTTTTGGTTAGTTACATATCCATAATAAATATATAACTACTGTTGTTTCCAAACGAGAACAAAACTCAAGGTTATGAAAAATAAATATACAATGCTCATTATTATACAGGGTGGGCCATGAATTAGTTAACATTTGAAATAATCATTTAAAAAAAACTATTTGACATATTTTAAAAATTGCTTTATTAAAAGAAAGCTAATTAGTTGGAAATTATTTTTAAAAAATCATATCATCTAAATGACCACCATTTCGATTTTTACACTCTTCTAAGCGAGTAACGAAATTTTCGAATACTCGTCCGCACAGAGACCGTGAGATCGTCGATATCTTTTCGCTGATTTTTTCTTTTAGTTGACGTAGTGTATTTGGTTTATCGATTTAGACACGACTCTTTAAATAACCCCATAAAAAGAAGTCAGCTGGGGATAGATCTGGACTTCTGGGTGGCCATGGAATGTCACCTCGTCTGGAAATCAGCCTTTTCGGAAACATTTCTTTAACCAACGGCAGGGACTCGTTGGATGTGTGACAAGTGGCTCCATCTTGTTGAAACCATGTGTTACGATTGTAGTCAGAAAATTCCAGTAGCATCGGTGCCAAAAACTCCCGTAACATTTTCACATACCGAGTAGAATTAACAGTAACTGAACGGCCGTGAGAATCTTCAAAAAAGTAGGTTCAATTATTCCTTTTGCTGAAATTGCAGCCCATACAGTTATCTTTGGAGAATGAAGTGGCCTTTCGTGTTTAGCTTTAGGATTGTCACTGCTCCAATATCTGCAATTCTGTTTGTTTACATGTCCGTTAAGATGAAAATGGGCTTCGTCAGAAAATAAGAGGTTCTCAAAATTACTGAATCGATCTAGCAGTTTCAGCATAGGACTTGCGTAAATTTAAATCATTAGGTTTTAGTTCCTGCACCAATTGGATCTTATACGGATGCAATTTCAAATCTAACTTCAAAATACGGCGTTACGATGTGCGGGATAATCCTAATTCAGCCGAACGTTTGCGCGTCGATAAACCTGGATCACGTCGAACAGAAGCAGAAACTTGCTGTACGTTCTCTTCGCTCCGACAAGTCCGTAGGCCGCCGATTTGCTTTACATTTAGTGTAGATCCCGTCTCTTCGAACTTCTTCACCCATTTCTTTATTAAAGGACCACTCAGACACTGACTTAAGTCGTGTAAATCATATTCACCACGAAATAAGCGTCTCACAGTAATAAGCGAATTGTTGTTTAAATAAAATTGTTTCACACAGTAAGCGCGCTGCGGCCCCGTGAAGCGATCCATTGCTACAAAATTTCCGAGAAACGAGCTAGTGACAAGACCCCTCCCCGCGCCCCGCGCGGCATTTATTTGCGTAGAGTATTAGATTCAAATGTTAACGAATTCTTGGCCCACCCTGTATCATAAAACGAAACATATTGTCATTTACAATGCTATATATTTTCCAAAGGCATATCGTTAAAATGATTGCATTGCCTCCAAGAAAGTTCTTTTCTTAAAAAGACTTTTCAGTAATATGTACTTCTATTTTACATAAGTTAAGGTATAAGTATTCTAGTGTACGTTATAGTAAATGTGAACTTTTCCGTGAGACACTAACTCCCTCTAGTAATTACAAACTGTCTAAAATTTATTTTATTCGTATAAAGCTTATTATTTTCGTATATAGCATAAAAGTATTTTTAATCCAATAACAATTGCCAACATCTAAGCTAATAGGACATTATTTTTCTCCAGGCACTTACCAGTACCTACAGTCTGACTTACTAGAAACATTGGAAACCTATTTGTTTCTGCTCCTTCTTAACAAATAAACATTAATAACATGATTTATATCAAAAAATATATTTGTTATCCTTTTTTTATAAATATTTTTTACATTTTACATCATAACAATAGTACATTGCTACGATCATAACTGAAATACATTTTTCATTAACACATAATTTCCTGACAACCATCCGTGTTTATAATTACTATTATCTAAATAATCTATTACATTACAGGAATGAAACTGTTTTATATGCAACGATTGTCTGCTCTAATGATTAAATAGCAGTTATTAATTTATTATCAAGTGTGTGATGGTATGTGTTTGCAAGTAAAGTACCTACATTTTTATCTCATTCCCATTTTATTTCATAAATTGTAAGAAGGTGAAGATTTTTGTGTATGTATTTGAAAATTCTTTTTGTCCAAATTATAATTGATTTTAATTAATGTCCAATTTCTAAAACTACTAATCAAAGTTTAAATTTGCAGTTTTTTGATGTCCTAACATTTAAAGATCATCTTCCGTTATATGTTAACTTCCCAGCTCATATCTTGATTATTATTTATATTAATACAAATACAGTTTAAAAACCTGATTTTAAATCAATGTAATTTTTTTTTAATAAAACTACTAGTAGTGTGTCTTTTAAACTTTTTGATGATCCAAAAAAATTATTTAGTCTTTTTTTTATTCTTTAAGAATACATAGTATTTCGATGAAACCCAAGTTGCCTAGTGAAATAAAATTATATAATAACAACGTATATTCATCAAGCTCTGTGACCGATAAATGGAAGATATAGATTGTTGATATAAGGTGACACGAAACAGATTGTCAAAAAAGTTGTATTAGAAATTGACCTTTATTCCTATACATATAATATACTTGTATACATTTTTAGTACAATTATTTTTTCATTAATATCCACGGTCCTTGTATCCACCACGGTGGCTGCCAGCTGAGTTTCCGTATCCACCTGTAAAAGTATAATACTTTATAAATCAGGAAAAACAATTGGGTAAGCTAATGCCAACCAAACCAATATATCATTATGTAACTGCATGCTCATATTGTTATGAACTTTAAAGACTATAATCAATGTTAAGAACCGTAAGAGTTATAACGTCTTACCCTGGCCCTGACCGAAACCTCCCTGTCCAAAACCTGGCTGACCGAAGTTTTCTTGACCATTTTGGTATCCTTAAAAAGGAATTATTTGAATTTAAGCTACGAGTTGCAAAAAAAAAAAACGAACATACAAATGAATGAAAAAGTTCTCACTGTTCTTAAATCTTAATAGTAATTAGTAACACTAGTGTATATTTAAAAGTTTTTACCTTGGTTCGGGTACCGTCCGAATTCGGGGTCGAGGTTTTGTTGTTGATATCCTTGTGGAAACGCTTTGGGAATAAACAAATCATATATTAATTAATATGTTCAGTAAATGTATTTGACCATGACAATACTTTCATATTGTTCAGTAGTTCATATTTGTCATTTGTTTATTATATTTTATACGTATGTATTTTAATATAGGTTTTTCATAATTAATTTACTCGGGTATATTTATTTTAAAACTACAATCGATTAACAAACACTCACCGTAGGTAACCACAGCTAACATTAGCACTACGTACAATATCTGCAAAAACATGTAGATAAATTAGTGTAAAAGTAACATTTGAAATTTATAAAATATAACCAAAAACAATGATCACATTATTCAAAGAAAAATAAAGTTCTATATGTATAAACACTAATAAAATACTCACTTTAATAGACATGTTTCTTTCTCGTTCTATATTGCAACACAATTAGAAAGAAACGTCGCGCTTCTTTTATAGAAATGTCTTATCTGAGAAATTTTAGAGTCTGACCTCAAGTTTTGTAAATTTAAAGTTATCTACATCACAACAATTTTACCGAGAAAAATAATGTAAACATAATTTTGAATTACACGTTAAAATTATGTTGCCCAAAAAATATCAGGTGTTTTCTGCTACACTAGGGACTAGGTTTGGGACTAGTCAAAATAAAACAGCAAATTATTTTAATTCTTAAAATTTATTAGAAATAATTGTCGTATACATTCCTAATATATATAATATTAACAATGACATTGAAATCAGATTAGATTTTACTGTGTTTAAAATATAAAATCGTGACGTCTGGATGCTGAGATGTTTTAAATAATAAAATCTATATGGTTAGTATTTACGTTATGTATTATTATGAGTCTTAATTATTTACGGGTATCATTTGTAAGTTAACTTATCGATTCAGAATAATGTTCAAGTCTTATTCCTTATCTAAATTTTGAAAGCGGCTCCACCCGACCTCCTGGTTTTCTGAACAAGGATTCGAAACATAGACATTATGTATTTATATAAAATTTGTAAAAAAATAATAATTAAAATTTCAAAAATATGTGGTTTTTAAGCACTTCTAATCAACAACGGTTTGCATCAAACACTAATATATCATTAGCTGAAGGCCTGGTAGGTAGAAACTGATAAAAAAAGGGGATTTGAGGTCCTCGGCTATTGAGCATCTGTTTTGGGTTCCGGAGGCGAAAAAATGTAAAATTATGTATCTCTTCTCCAGCAGTGGGTCCAGACTCGGACAGCTGCTGTTGGAGCTAAGCTTACAGTGCGTTTTCGATCCAGCATCATCGTTCGTTTCTTTGGGCGTAGGAACTCACCGGGATTTAGCGGGTCGTTCTGCCTCTTTCTGATGTAGTTTTTCTTAACCATCCCCACATAACCACACCCTACCCAATAGGATTTGATATGTGTTAAGTGTTCAAAAAAAAACTCATAATATCAAGACATGTAAACAATATTTTTTATCTGAATTAACTCGTTAAAAATCTACTTTAAATCGCTATTCTATTAAAATAAAAAGAAAAAAAAAACATATTTTATCGCTCCATCCTAATATATGTATATGTACATGGGCTCAGTTTAACGGATTAATCTTATCTGCAGCCATATTTAAAAGTTAAAATGTTTTATTAAAAAAAATGTATAATACTTCCTCCTCCAACCCAAACAAACATTTGTTTTGTAAATAAAAGTTATCAATACAAGTGAATTTGATAACGAATCATGTACGAGAGCCAATTAAATCATAAAAAAATATCTTCGGGGTAACACCCTCTTGTATGGATAAATATTGTATAACGGGTCATTTCGATGACTCCGTGATATCATCACCGCGCCACAAGTTCACGTGCCACATGACAAATATTAAACAATTGGTTTCCAATCATCAAAATAACATAATATTAGGTATATAAATCACATAATATTAGGTATATGGAGATTATAAGTTTATTGAGGCAATATTAGTTCAATGTACACTTAAATAAGATTTTTTTACTTTCCTACAACATTAAGTTGACTTGTCCGTAGCTACAGAACTAGGACCAAAAAATTCTAAGCACTTTTATATTATTTTAGCTTTGTTTTGTTTGTTTTGTAATATATTTATTATGTAATTTATTAAATCAAAAAAATTAAGTGTCCCAGAATAGAATTTATTGTCACATATGTATGTACTATGCTATATTTTTTCCAAAGGCATATCGAAATAATGATTACATTGCCTCAAAGAAAATTCTTTTCTTAGACGGACTTTTTCGAAATACTTTCGTTTTAATTATATGTATTCTAATGTATGTATAAGTAGATATGAACTTTTCCGTGAGACCCAAACTACCTCCAGCAATTAAAAATTAAATACATTTCATTTTGCTCCCAGAAAGCTTGTTATCTATTTAAGTGTAAATATTTTTGTTCTTCAATCCAATTACTATTGCTAAACAGCTAAGCTAATTAGACGCTTTCATTATCATTTAATATTTTTTTGGTAAGACAAAATATACAAACAAATGACGTCATAATAATAAAATGCTACGATCATAACTGAAATAAGTTTTTCATTAACACATAATTTCCTGACAACCATCCGTGTTTATAATTACTATTATCTAAATAATGTATTACATTACCAGAATGAAACTGTTTTACATGCAACAATTCTTTAATCTACGGTTTAAATAGCAGTTATTAATTATCAAGTCAGTTGTGGCCTAGTGGTTAACTGTCCGCCTCTCGTACACGAGGATGCGGGTTCGATCCTGGCAAGTAGCAATGTGATTTTTCTGAGTCATATGTACTCGTACTTTCTAATAGTATTTAGACATCACTGACAGGCGGTGAAGGAAAACTTCACAATTATATGTTTAAAATCACCAACCCGTGTTAAGCAATCGTGGTGATCAATGCTCAAACCTTCTCCATGTGCGAAGAGGCCTTTGCTCAGCAGTGGGCTCTGCAAGGCTGATGATGAATTATCACGTTCATGATGGTATGTGTTTGCTAGTAAGGTAACTTTTCATCTCATTTCCATTATTTCTTCATTTATGTATGTATGCATTTCACTACTTTTTGTTCAAATAAGAGATTTATTGTTATCAATATCCCATTTCTAAAACTGCTAAGCAAAACTGTTCGTGACGAAGCCTCAAAATTTATATTTCAATTTTTCAAGGTTCTTAAGATTCAAACAATATCATCCGTAATATATTAACGTCTCAAGATATATATTTATTTTATCATTTATATTTCGATACAAAAAAATAATATATATATTAAATTGCCATTTTCAGCAATACCTGCGATAATAAATTAAATTAATAGAGTATGGATAGGTAAAAAGGAACATTAAATAGATTATTATCTTTTAAAAGACTTGTGCAAAGAATTATTTTTTTTATTCTTATTCATATAACATACTTGTTAACAAATTCAATACAATTATTCCTTCATTAATACCCGTATTCCTTGTAACCACCGCGATGGCTGCCAGCTATGTTTCCGTATCCGCCTGGTAAAAAACAATACTATTATATTACAAATATACTAGAAAAATATTTTGGTACGGTAAACCAAATGAAAATTGTATTGTGTAACTTCATTGTTATATTGTAATACACTTTAAAGATTTATAATAAATTTTGAAACCGTATGAAATATAGTATCTTACCCTGACCTGGGAAACCGCCCTGACCGAAACCTCCCTGTCCAAAACCTGGCTGACCGAAGTTTCCTTGACCGTTTTGGAATCCTTGAATAAGAAATTTTGTAAATTAAAGTACTTATTTCAATAAACTACGATCAAACAAATGTATTAAACGTTATTAAGTAAATTATTTTTTTCTTTAAATGTAACAATAAAATTAGTACACATTTTTAAGTTTTTTCACCTTGGTTCGGGTACCGTCCGAATGCGGGGTCAATGTTTTGTGGTTGGTATCCTTGTGGAAGCCCTTTGAGAATAAACAAATCATAAATTAATTAATAATATGATAAGTATGTAAATGTTTTTGACCGTAACGATATTTTCAAATAGTACATTTGTTCCTACATTCAATCATTCTTCTTTACATTCAAACGCATTCAATATATGTACTTTACATGCATTTTGTTTTTTTTTTATTCTTAAAGTAGACTTGATTTATAAAATCCTTGTTTAAAAATTATTAAAAATATTGTAATCCTTAAATAAAAATGTGAATTTAAGGCACTTCTTTCAATAAATCGCGATAATTTAAATGCAAATTATTAAATAAATCTTTCTTTAAAGTTAATAGTAACACTAGTGAATATTAATAAGTTTTTTACCTTGGTTCGGGTATCTTCCGAATGCGGGGTCGATATTTTGTTGTTGATATCCTTGTGGAAAGCCTTTGGGAATAAACAAATCAAAAATTAATTAATATGGTCACTAAATGTATTTGACCGTTATGATACTTTTAAATTATTCAGTTGTTAATATTGTTCATATATCGTAAATCCTTTCTAACATTCTCATGCTAAACAAAGAGGTTTATATATATGTATTTATTTATGACATTAACATTTACCCTGGGATATAGATTTAAAAACTACAATTGATTTACAAAAACTCACCGTAGGTAACCACAGCTAACATGAGCACTACGTACAATATCTGCAAATTTATGTAGACAAATGAGTATAAAAGTAACATTTAGTATTTGAACATAATAAATTAAACACACCGATAAATGCAATATGCTATTCAATCGAAAATAAAGTATATTAATTAATAAAACACTCACTTTAATGGTCATGTTTCTTTCTCGTTCAATATAACACCGCACTTAGAAAGAAACGTCTTACTTAATTTATACAAATCTGTTATCTGTAAAATTTTAGAGTCTGACCTCACGTATTGTAAATATAAAATTTATCTACATGACATAATTATTTTACCAAGAACAATATTGTAAACAAAATTTTGAATACAACAATAAATAAAAGTTAATGCAATATGGAGTCACCCAAAAGTATACCAAGTGTGTTTCTACAGGATCTTGGTTAAATAAACCAGGAAAACACAAAACTTCTACACTATTTTTTTTTAATATTCATAAGTTAAATGAAAACAATTAATTGTTTATTAAGAAAAAAACATCGGGGAATTATCTTGATGGCTTATAGAAAGTGAAACAAAATCTAAATATGATTCAGACAGCTTAGAAAAAACTTAAGATAGTTTAGGAAAACTGTAGTAATTCCCTAAAAGAACATCTTCTCCAACCAGGTACTTTAAGTAACAATAGAAAATAATAATTTTAATGACTTCTCTATAGACATACAACTCATACACTTTGTAGGACAAATATTTTTAGAACAATTTAGGTAATTATGGCCCGATTTTATATTAAAAAAAATAGCATTAAAATTTAAATATTTAAAAATCGTCAAATCACCACACTTTTTTCCCTTTACACCCTTATCGTAATTCTATGAAGAGTTTTAGTATAGAAAATCGTTCAGAGTCTCAAGAATATAAAACTTAAATTCTATCAATAGTATTAGGGTCAGTTATGGTGGGGTAAAATAAAATAATATAACCTTTTAAATATTATGTATTGACAAAATAAAAAATTATTTAATGTTTCATATTAACATTTTGTTTAACATGGCACTTGTGGTGGGACGACTCCGGGTGGGTTGCTGATACCAGTACCATCTCTGGCGATACCGGCTTGGACTGGAGCTAGAAAATAATATAGAAAACAATATTAAAACAAATAAATAATTAAAAAAGTATTTTTTTTTATCACAGACTCGAGGAAAATTATTGTTATTCGCTTTATTTCACACATTATTAGAATACTTCGTTTACGATTATAGACAAAATATTCACAAAAATAATTTAAAAGAAAATAGTAATATAATTTTAATTGAATTTTTACCTCGTTTTTAGTTTTTAGTAATATTAGCAATGTTTTAGAATTCTTATTCAATAAAAAAATATACATATACATATATTTTACAGAATAAATTCATCGAAAATTTTTTTTACTTACCTACGACATTCAGGAGAGAATTACCAGCGACTGGTAATGTTGGCACCGCTGGAAAATTAATTTAAAATATACAATATAGCCGATACAAATATAATTTAAAATTAGCCGACCTGTATTGACTTCCACAACCAAGATCATAACACAATATAATGAGGACGTATTTTAAAACTATCCAATTATAATTCCTTGATGAATTCAGAATATCAGTTCCAAAAAAATTTTATACAAAAAAAATTTAAATAGAAGAATAAACGGGGTAATGTATGAAAATATTCAAAATTTATTGAAATAAATAAGAGGATTGAATTCACAGCTGAGATTAATAGCAAACACCTTTCGTTTTATGATAGTTATTAAATTAGACTTAAAAAATATTAGTAACTTAAGAAAATCTTAATTTTTTACAAAGTTTTTATATTTTCGGAACCATGTCTATTGATTTTTTTTTTCAATTAAATAACAAACTCACCGAAAGCGGCAGCTGCCAGCATCAGGAAGAAGTACAGGACCTGTTACGAGAAAAATATGAAATTTTATATAAAAAAAGTTTTAACAGAATTGCCAGAATAAAATAATTAATAAATGAAAAATATATTCCAGGGCCAGCCTTTAAAACACGTGATAAAATGTTAATAATATTAAAAAAACTCTATTTACCTTGAAAAACATTTTGACTGCGTAGTTTTCAGTACAATGAATTCACATCAAAATATGTGTCTTATATACTCGCATAACACTTAGGCATATTGTTTCGTAAACACAGATGTTCATTATAAAGACAATAGAAAGGTGTTTGGTTATTTTTCTGTTATAATATTCATAATTCTATGAGACAAATATTACGTAAAATTAAACATCCAAATATTGAATTGCAAGCTTGGTTATTGACGTGGTTATTTTTGTTGACGTCATAAAAAGTTTTCAATAAAATCGTTTTTGGAACCTGAATCATATAGTATTTTTATAACTAGCTAAAATTTATCCATCTTCTTTGAAAACGTGCATCCATATTGTGTTTACTTTTTGGAAATTCTAGAGACTAAACATATATATGGAGTTTTTGACTGTGGTTCTAGAAATGTAATTTAGGGTTACGATTCCAAAGTTTAAATGAAGAAAAATAAAAAAAAATTAATAACAATAACTGAAAAATGGTTCCAAATTGACCGTTTTTGTAGGTTTTTCTCATATCCTCATAATTTTTCAAACTGCATGGGATAGATTTTTTTCTGATTTTTGTCATGATGGTTACAATCACTTCTGTCGACTTTAAGTTTTGAAAACCCTTTATGTTTGAATGGTCAAGATATGATTAATGTTGGATCAAATTTTAAAATGTCTATAAATTTTAATAAAAAAAAAAAATTTTATTATTTATACTTCCGCCTATCCTACAAAACTCACTCACATATTATATAAATAGAACAAAATAAGCCGGAATGAATTTGTATTAATAACTTATGAAATATCAGAAAAAGCGAATATAAAAAGGGAACAAACAAAAAAATTAAAAAGTATTTTAAATAAATAAGTAAGCATAAGCTCTGTACAATAAATATTTTAGTAAAGTACACCGTATTTGAAAAAATACCAATTTATATTATTATATACCACAACATTCTGAAACTGACCTGAAAAATGGGAAGAGTATTATAAAATCAGATTAAAACATGGGAAGTTCATCTTTAAGATATACTGATAATAAAATAATACATTTTGCAAAAAAGGATGTATACATTACATTTGATTGTTTTCTCTATCAAACATTTAATTAATTATAATTAGGATTAACCCTTAAACTATCTTTTTGATTTAGGTAAACTTTTGCCCTGTTAGATATGTTGTATATAATTCTTGTATAATTGTAGTCTACACATAACAACTGTAAGAACAGTTTTTGCAACGGAAGAAACAAAACCGGAATTCCATAATAGGATACAATTGTTATACCATCTTTGATTACACATATTGTGTTCCGAACTATATTATCCAACTAAATCACGAGTACGCGTGGTTATGATAAAATTAAAGAGATCAAAATATTCCACTGAGAACTGTTAGGATTAAAAGAAGTGGTTACACTAAAACAACAATTTAAGGTAATTTTCTAATTAGAATTTATATAGGATAATTTAAGCCGATTACTTAAATGCATTGCTTAAATGCGTTAATTAATTATTGTATTGATTAGCCGATTATTATAATTTTTATTTCTTTGAATGATCATGCCATGTAGAATAAAGGACAAAATGTTTAGCATTGTTTTTGAGTCCCATCCTCGAAAGCTTGAATATCCTACACTATCTACTCTACACAATAGAATTTTTTTGGAAAGATCCTAAATCAGCCATTGTGTTAATCAATTTAATTATTCCTAAATATCTTAAATAACTATGTGACAATATTATTAAAACGTCTTAAAATTTATTTTCCTTATAAAATTATCTATTTTATAATATAATTAATGGAAAGAGGATCCAAGATGGTTGGAGAGTGTCTTTTTTAATTTATTACAATGCACAGCACAGATATTTATGAATACAAGACGGATAATATGTTCCAGCTTCCTTTTCATCTACATTTAAGGTGTTTGGCTGATGTTTAACCCATGTCTCAAATTATGGCAAATGAAAGATAATTTTTAATATTAGTTATATGTATAAACACATAAAGAATTATAATATCTATGCATACATATGTGTCAAATGGTGCATAATTAAAAAAAATATAGTATTGGCACTTGTTTTATTTCATTAATTTATTATTTACACAATTTCTCATCAAAATTCTAATACATCAGTGTCCTCCCTTTCCGTATCCGTAATTGCCACCATATCCACTTGGAGCATATCCATATCCGTCTACGGCAACAGGACCTGCATAGCTATTATAAACACCACCTGCGAAGGCTAACGTTCCATCTTGAGAATTTCTAGCAACCGCCTCAGCAACAGCCTGAGCTTGAGCTGCACTGGTAGCAACAGCCGACGCTTGAGCTCTTGCGGCATTTGCTATTCGTGCTGCCTCCACTGCACGAGCATTAGCAATGGCAAGGGCATGCACGCGAGCAGCATTAGCGATTCTTTCAGCTTCCATAGCACGTGCAATTTCTACAGCAGCTGCAGAAGCCGCTCTCCTTGCTGCCTCAGCAGCACGTGCATTCTCATATGCAGCAGCTCGGGCTCTTTTTAAGTTCGCAATTCGTGCTGCATTTAGGGCTTGAGCATTTCGAAGGGCAGTTGCTTGTCCTGCTCTTGCTGCAGTTTCTGCTACTCGAGCACCTTGGATTGCCGCAGCAGCAGCATTGGCTATTTGAGCGGCTTGAACAGCTTGAGCGTTTTGTATCGCACTGAGCTGTGCTGCTCCCACCGCAGCTGCATTATTGAGTGGAGCACTACTGCCAGCAACACCACTGTAAGACGGACCAGCAATGACAGGCATACTAGCAACAAGAACACCTCCTCCACTTGGGCCTGTTGGTGCAACGGAGCCTGGCTCATACCCACCTCCTACGCGGGAGGCGATTATAGGAACGAATCCACCGCTCTCCGCAACATGAGAATCTGTCTCTGGTGATATTTTATTTCGACCTGTAAGTTTATTATTATTGTATTATGCATAATATTAACAATATTGTTTTTCTTTTTTATTTATAGACAAACATACCTTCCCCTAGTACATCACATGCCGCTGTGATGAAAATGAGGATCTGAAAATCATGAAACAAACATTTAATTTCTAGTATAATTAAAATTAAACCGCAAGATGACTAATTTATTTCTGGCTCACAGTATGTACTTTAAAAATATTCAAATTTTATCTCTTATAGAATCTCTCTCTCTAATAAAGGAATTATTTCAATTTGAGTCTTAAAAATATTATTTTCTTTAATTATGGTATTGACTTCATACTATAAATCTTACCGTTAATAGAGACATATTTGTTTATCTTTCTGACACGCCTTCCAACCAGACAGATTGAAATGTGCAACGCATAACACTGATTGCATCCACTTTTATACTTTACCCAACTACTTCGTGTTTTTTTTAAATAATTCTTCGATATTGCCCTATTCGAATGTTATTACGTCGAAGAAGAAAAAAATTCAACTCATACATGCGAGAATTGTAACGCTCGACCACGCTTGATAGAGTGTTACAGACGAAAACAATCTTTATGTAATCATTCTAAGTGGTATATTTGTTTGAGAACTTTCTTCAATGATCCTAATCTTTAAAAAACTATGTAGTAAATTTTAATTTATTGTTGACATTCGCCGTATAGGTCAATGAATCGTACCTAGTCTTCAAGCGATAAATTATACGCCATGAGGCCAGTTTTTAGTAAAGAATAATAAAATTGAAGTTATCCAACATTTTATCGACGAAATAGTTCCAAAACAGTCGAAGTACATATGAGCTACTTAAATATTAAGGCAAATGACCATAGAAAAGAATTTAATTTTCTTTATATCTTATGTATATACTTATAAGAAAATTAAAACGTCAAAACATAAATACAAGTCCAGTAATTTAAAAAAAAAGCTCATTAAATTATTTAAAATAATATGTATATCTCAATCCATATTTAACACAGGTAATATTATAACTAATTGTTAATTCTGTGGAAACAATATTAATCCACAAATTTTAATAATAAAACTATTGTAATTTTCTCGATTATTCTTTTCAAATACGTTTCAACATTTTACATTTTCAAAAAATATTATCAAATAAAACTAATATGTAACTGTTTAAACATTGTTTAATTCATATGGAAGCCTTGTGTAACACCTGAACAAATATTTATATGTACGGTTATGTATTACTTAATTGTTCATTTGTTTTCGTGTTCCGTTATAAAAAAAAACATATTTAAATATAAATTTATACATTTATTACTTGTTACTTAAATGAACAATGTAATAGTAGTTTAATAAGGGGGTTTATTTCTTGATTTACAATAGTTTTTATTCTATTTTCATGTATTCTACATTTATTCATAGCACTTTCAATGTACTTGAAACATGTGAATGAATACGATTTCTTATATTTAGTTATTTATTATTTACTCTCTATTTATAAACATTTCCAACACCACTTATAAATAGCATTTTCAAATCTTGAACGTTATTTATTAATTATTATATATTTTATAAAGTTGATTCTCATCGCTAATTAATCTTCAGATATGTATCGTATACCTGACTGTATAAAATCATCTTTTGAATTTAATTAGGTGACGCCATGTCAAATAGACTCTGGAAGAATTACTTGATCTGAGACTTCAAAGTGTTTTTACGGGTTTTTACGTTGAGTGAAGAATATAGTTATCACTTATTTATCACTCATTACATATCTAATTAAATAATTCCGAAGGAAAGTACCTACGGTGGGCTTATCCGGGGTAAAAGTCTTGGCACATGACCGGACACTACAGAGTTTTGCTCTACAACCTAATATTAAACAAAGTTTCATCAATAATGACATCAAAGACTTTCGGAAGTATTCATTAAAATAAAAATTAAATTATCAAATTACATATGTACTACGTGTTATTTTATTATTAAAATAATAAAACAAACAGGGTGAGCTAAATAAAACCGTTTAAAAATGTACATATTCCCGACGTTTCGGTTACTTTCGGTTTCGGGTACTTTGCAGCAACCGTGATCATCAGACGAGATGAGAATGAATTAAAAGTAGAAATAAAACAAAGCATGGTGATCCGAAAATATTAATTTAATTTAGATAGATCAAAACCCATAAAAGAGTTTGACAACTCCATATTCTGTCAACTGTTCAGTGCTTATCTGATTTTTTTCTATGCATATTAATTACGTACATCATTCCAATGCAGCTAATTTCGTCTGATCTCCAATCTCCAAGTACTTTTAAAATAAGGTTTTTAATACCACTATGGCAAAATGAGGAACAATATTCTTAAATTGAAAGTTTGACTTCGATTAATATATAAGAAAACGGATAAACCAACTAGGACGGTGAAAATGAATACGGAATTCTGAAATCCGAATTAATAGGATGTGACGGAATTACTCAAATACTATTACTATATTTCGAAGCTTATTACTACAACATAATTGTAAAGTATTAAAAGATATAGACAACTTAATAAACTAATTTATATTTTCTGGAAAGTACATAGGATATAAGTCATCAGGCCATCCCTTATACTACGTTTCAAAATTGTTAGCGTAACTGCTAATTTTTGTATTAATTATAGAGGAAATTTGATACTAACAATATATAATTCATCCAGGTGATTTATAAAGAGATATTTAAAAAAAACAGGTGCTGTCTCTAACATACTACAGTTTTTGTGATAGTTGAAAGAAATAACAAAGTTATTGATACCATAAATATAACTTATAGTTACGTAGTCAGTTATTTTACAAACTTTTATTTAAACTGATAACACCGTTCACCCAGATATATATAAAAAAAATTCATACAAACCCTTCCAGCTATTTAGAAGCAGTTTAGTAACGTACACATTTGAATTATATGTATTTAAAATAAAAATAAAATCTGTATCAATTATTTTAAAAATAAAACAACAAAATAATTACACAATTATGTATTTTTTAACACATAAACAGGCCTTAATTGCGCCTAATTTTCAATATTTCTGTGTAAAATAATTCATTTTAGGTATCTAAAATATTGCATTAAATTGCCATAGAATTAAGTAATTTTAATGCGATCCCTTTCCACTTAATCCATAGTTTCCTCCGAGACTGCTAAGATATAAGGCACCTGATGAAACGGGAGCATAGCTAGCGACCGCTACTTCGGCGCCATCGATTAAGGCTGCACCACCGAGACCATTACCAGCACCTCCTACCAAGAGTGATCCTCCTCCAGTGTTTCTGGCGACACTATCAGCAACAGCCTGAGCCTGGGCTGCGCTAGTTGCAACAGCTGCAGCTTGAGCTCTCGCAGCATTAGCAATACGGGCTGCCTCTACAGCTCGTGTGTTAGCAATAGCTACCGCCTGTACACGAGCAGCATTAGCGGCACGTTCTGCTTGAACAGCGCGAGCGACCTCAACAGCTGCGGCTTCAGCAGCGCGTCTCGCTGCTTCAACTGCACGGGCATTCTCGTAAGCAGCAGCTTGTGCTCTTTGAAGGTTAGCAAGACGAGCAGCATTCAAGGCCTGGGCATTCTGAATAGCGTTAGCTTGACCTGCTCTAGCTTGAGCTTCAGCAACTCGGGCTCCTTGGATGGCGGCTGCAGCAGCGTTAGCTATTTGAGTAGCCTGAACAGCTTGGGCGTTTTGAATAGCACTAAGTTGTGCAGCTCCAGCAGCAGCTGCGTTATTAAGAGATCCAGTACTGCCACCATTAATAATACCAATACCAGATCCTATGAGGCCACTGAGTCCTCCAGGTACGACAATGCCAGCAGCTGGTGCCCCAATGTTTGCCCCATAGCTGACTAATCCACTCGGAGCAGCACTAGAATCAGCTACAGCCGTGTCTCTGCTCACACCTTTAAATACAAAACAACGATTAAACAGTGCTTTTAAGCCTATTTAATAAATAATAAACAAAGACCTCTTAAAAATTAACTGACCTCCCATCACTTCATACGCCGCGGCGATGACAAAGAGAATCTGTGAATAGATTTTTCATAATTTGATTATTCCATTTACATAAATTTCTTTTCACCATTAAAAAAAGTAATTTTTATTATTAACTTACCGTAAGACGAGACATTGTGTTTTATTTGTTTACTTCACACGACTCTATAGTAACAATTAACTTAATGATACCTTCCATGAATTGCATGCGCTTTTATACTGCACCAAATATTGCTAACACCGAATTAACAATTCTAAGCCAATAAAGTGTGCCATCTTATTTGAATATGTTAACTTGTTAGTGTAAAAACTGACTAAACCTGTAGGTTGCAACCAAACACGCTGCGAAACATGTATTGACACTATAAATACTTGGACTGTTTCATATAATTTTCATTAATTATTAGTGTTAACTTGCAAAAATGTAACGATATATAGAATTGTTTTTTATTTGAAAATCGTTCTGATTAATAAAACTGCTTTAACAAGTAACAGTAGTCATCTATACACAATTAGCCGTGCGTTTAATATGAATTCATTATCAACTGGATTAAGAATAAAAAATCCATTAATTTTATAAGTAATTTTCCTTTGTTTAAATATTTGGCATTAAACAATAAGTTTTTAAATATCTTAATGTTAGCCATCAAATCATTTTAAACGGAAGGAAAACATACTTCTAAGTCAAACACATCAATAATAATCAATAATCATGTATTTTTATTACCCTATCATTAGTTTTTACATCCTTCAAAAAAGGAAGAAGATTGTATTTTAATTACAACCACATATCTCATTTAACTTCCATTAAACGACTTTAAACTTATAACGTGATAATACATATAAAACAACGCAAGGAATATTTTCAATTTACATCATTGATTTGTCTGTGATCTAAAGAAATTGTTATCTAATTTATTAAGCATGGAAAGGAGAACTCTTTAAATTAATCTAAATTCATAAATATATTTGAATGTTACTATATAAATCTACATTTTATAGTATATATTAATATAAAAATAAATAAATACAAAAACAATATTTAAATGAATTTGGCTATAGTTATAGAAAATTCTGACATAATTGAATACATAATTACTAGTAATAAATAGTTCAGAAATCTATTTAAGTCATAACTTTTCATTAACGCCAATAACGTTAAAAACGAGCAAGCGACACATCCAGTGTTAATTTATTTTACACAGAATGATTTCAAAATACTAGGTACCTATATGTTTCTAAAATTTAAATTAATAATTTTCCCATGTCTCCATCGATTTTTGTACCCGACGTTATGGTGTTACTATGCTTATCTTTGAATTTTAAATCAGTATTAAATATCTCATCGTGTTAAAATATCCTTTTTTTCTTACTGCATGTATGCACTGCATCCAGCGAAAGCGAAGCGAAACGAAAAAGGCTGTAAATACTGATTTACAGCCTTTTTCGTTTCGCTTACTAATATTTATTTATTTTTATACGTTTAGGAGACTGTAAAATGGTGTTAATCTCAACTTAAATATTCCGTACATTTGTCTAAGGGTCATTTATCTATGGATAAAAGCACATATTTAGAGATGTTTTGACGGAGAAGAGAAAAAATTGTGGTCCTTTAGACGTCCGTCAAACTATAGGTTTTATAGTTTTGTAGCTTAAAAACAAAATAATGAACTCTAAAATTTTTCTTCACTTATGGATTTTAACGTCCACTCAAATGATTGCTGCAGTATACAACATAAAATTTTATTAATATAGCCTAAAGACAAAATTAAATAAACTTTTAAAAATCGTTACCGTCGAATGCACAAGCGCAAGTATGCATACCAATCTAATTGCTAATATACTGTTCACGTTATAAATTTTCATATTTTTGTATATTCAATATAAAGGCTCTGATATTTCAATTTACTACTCAACTATTTGAAAAATGTTTAATATTCCGACACAGGAGGTAAACTGATTTGATGATATAATACTTTGTTTTGCGTTTACCAAGTTGTTTTTTCGAAGGAATTATTAGGCTTTTTTAAGATTTCTCTAAGTCCTTTTTTGAGAAAAATTTAATTAATGTTCTAAATTAAAAAGAAGAAACAATACTTTCGCTTCCGCTAACCATTTCAACATATTAAATATGTAATTTTTGTAGATAGATCTGTCAATTGCCATATATCTAATATATAAAATTGCCATCACAAAAAACTAACTAACAAGTTACCGTACTCCTCCGATACGGCTATACCGATTTTTACCAAATTTTATATGCCTATTCAGTAGGTATGAGAATCAGCTACTATGTATTTTCATACATCTAAATGATAAAGTTTGTTCACCATAAAATTTATCTTTTTACTTTTTTTATAATGTGGCATTAAAAATACATACAACCGAAAATTTTTACTTTTTTATCACCAACCCCTATTTTTTATCTGGTTAACCAATGTTTGCCGGGTCAGCTAATATGTACATAAACATGTAACTTAAAGCAAACGTATATTTACTGTATGTAATTAAGTTATTAAAAGTGTTTTAAAATTAATTATATATAATGAATTACATCCTGGAAATCCTTTGTTTACCTTGAGTAACTATTGGGTTAAACATATACTTATGTGTAATGAAAATTTTACGTGATTAATAGTTTCTGATACCTCCACATTATATCCAGATTTTTCTGCGTGAAGAAATAATAGGTAAACAAAGAAAAACCTACCTACTTAATTATCAAATTAACCAAAATAAATCATGTTTATATCCTGTTTTTATTACTTATGATACGGCCTTAAATTGAAATATTAACTTTTTAAAAACCTATGCGTCGAATAAGTTTGTTGGCAACACTATGAAATAAAAACCGACCCAGACATATTTCACGTTTTAAAATACTGTCAATTAGCATTCAAGATGAGAATAATCGAAAATTAATTAGATGTAAGTGAAAAGGAACGTATATTTACATTTCTTTTCTCTCTCCAAAGGAACAAAAATGATATTCTACACCGCAAATGTCAAAAAATAGATTAAAAATATTGCACAAATTAAAGAATTATAGCAACACAACATTCATAACATGCCTAAAAACACAGTCAAACATTGAAAGGTTTTTTTCTTGAATACTTCTAACACAGTACAAAATTTATACATTTTTAAAAATAAATAAAATAAAACACAAATATTGATGCAATCGTTTATATTAAAGAAATATATTTACACAGCTAAACATTAATTATACCAACATGCCGCTAACCATTTCATTGGAATGTGATTAATCGGAATAGAATTGTTCTATGTTACATTATTTACTATCATTCCCGATGTAAACTGGTTCATTTTAGTGAATACCTTTTCCTAATCCTAAACCAAGACCTCCAAGATTTCCCAAACCTCCCAGACCTCCAAGACCTCCAAGATTACCGAGAGATCCAAGACCATAACTGGAACCGACGGCAAGTGGTGCTATTGATCCACCGTTACCAATAAGTCCACCGTTTCCAATGAGTCCACCATTTCCAAGGCCACCACCACCCAGTAGGAGTGCTCCATTTCCAGCATTTCTAGCTACAGTATCAGCAACGGCCTGAGCCTGAGCTGCACTGGTTGCAACAGCAGCGGCTTGAGCCCTTGCAGCGTTAGCAATACGAGCTGCTTCTACAGCTCGTGAGTTAGCAATAGCTGCAGCCTCAACACGGGCAGCATTAGCGGCGCGTTCCGCTTGAACAGCACGAGCGACCTCAACTGCTGCGGCCTCGCCAGCACGTCTCGCGGCTTCAACTGCACGGGCGTTTTCGTAAGCAGCTGCTTGTGCTCTTTGAAGGTTAGCGACACGAGCAGCATTCAAGGCCTGGGCATTCTGAATAGCATTAGCTTGACCGGCTCTTGCTTGAGCCTCAAGAACTCGGGCTCCTTGGATGGCGGCGGCAGCAGCATTGGCTATCTGAGTAGCTTGAACCGCTTGGGCATTTTGGATAGCACTAAGTTGTGCAGCGCCTGCGGCGGCCGCATTATTAAGAGATCCACTACCCCCACCGTTGATATATTCAATTCCAGATCCTATTAATCCACTTCCAATTCCTCCAGGTACAACAATGCCAGCTGATGGTGCGCCGAGTTTAAGGCCTCCACCATAGCCATAGCCGATTAAGCCACTAGCGGCTACACTAGAATCAGCAACAGCGACGTCTTTCCTCACAGCTGAAATTAACAATTAGCTATTTTAACACAAAGTCTTTAACGAGTTGCAAGTATATTATAATAAAGTTATCTACCATCTCCAAGCACTTCATACGCTGCAACGACGACAAAGAGAATCTGAAAAGAATATATAAGCTTTGTTTTATCTTCTGTACGTTTAGCTATTGTGTTCAAATTACAAAAGTTCTTTAAGTAGTACTTTCTATACTATAATTTTATTACGTACCGTAAGACGAGACATCGCTAATTATTTCTTTAATACAACTCTATCAAAACTATAATGTGAATGAAGATTTATACAAATTGCATGCGCTTTTATAATGCACCTCATATTACTAAAATCAAATTAACAATTCTAAACCAACGCAGTGTGCCGCCCTAGTTAAATATCATTACCGGCTGAAGTAAAACCAAACCTGAACGTAACAGTTGACGATAGAATTTTTTCATAATATTATTGTAATAGATTGTAGATCTTATTTATATAACAAATAAGGGCGTGAATTGTATCTAATATTAACGATATTATTTTAACATATGCAGTTTCCATATTGCTGAAACATAAATCGTACATATCCCTTACCAATCGCTTCCTTTATTATAAGACATTGAACTATAGTAGGATGTTTCTATTTTGTAATAATAAAATAATAATCAAATAAGAAGTTCAAAGTATGCATATTGTAAGTTAATAAGTTGAAATACTTATATATATAATATGTATAGATACTGAATTTAAAAAAATGTAGATTGTTTTTTGTACTTTAATCTTGAACAGATTGCAGCGTTAATACGTACGAGAACTTTTACGATTACCATTTAACTCGCTCGAAAACGAACATATTCTTTGAAAATAAAGTCAAAAACATTAATTAATAAATGACGAACAATATTTTTATTTGTTTTTTAGAATATTAATAACTGTAAAAGGTATATTATACATTCACATATTTTTTTTCTCTCCTATTTTTGTCCACTAAGCTAGAATAAATAAAACTATGAAAAACTATTTATTCAAGCCACAAGGTGAGCAACGCATCTACAATACCCCTTATGTTGCAGATGTCCATGGAAAACAGGGACTACTTTCCATCAGGTAGACCTTCAATCCGTTTGCCACTTCGTATATGTAGCTTAATTGCTTATGGTTTGTACATTTCAGTAATTACAAAAAAATGATCTACATTCCATAAAAATTTTAAAAATTAGAATCCAGAAAAAACAAAAATTATTATTTATAACAAACTAGCTTTTGCCGCGACTTCGTCCGCGTGGAGTAGTGACTTCCGGCAGATTTTTGGTTCTTCCCACATAGTTCCCGTTCTTGCCTGATGATTTACCACTATATCTTTGCTCCTATTGGTCGTAGCGTGATGTTATATAGCTCACAGCCTTCCTCGATGACTGGACTATCCAACACAAAAAAAATTATTCAATTCGAACCAGTAGTTTCGGAGATTAGCGCTTTCAAACAAACAAACAAACTCTTCAGCTTTATAATATTACTATAGATTATTTGTGATACAAATTTTATTTTGCTATAATAATAATAATAATTTTAAAATTATTTTCAATCAAAGTATATTTTTCTATTTAAATAATCAATATTTTATATTATTTTACTATTAGCTTTGTAGCATACTATATTAGATACTACAGCTTTCCGCCCGCAGCTTCTCCCGCGTGGAGTTCGATTATATCGCGTTTCCAAGAGCACCTTTCAAAAGTCTGGGATAAAAACTATCCTATGTAGAGGTGGGCGTTGTATGAACGAACTGTTTACCTAAACTGTTTTTTGTACGTGAACGATAAAACTAGTTTATAGTTCACAGATAAACTAGTTTATTCGTCGACTGGTTGACGAGTCCGTTGTCGTGTCGCGAGCGTCTGGCCGATGCCGATAGGTACTATGGTACTAGTCACTCGCGGTCGCGGTAGAAGAACCAGATTAACTACACGAAAAGTGGAAAAAATAATGTTTCTCAATATCAATTTGAGTGAACAAAGATTTCAAAATTATTATTAAAAATACAAAAAAATTAAAAACCCAAAAAAAAAAGAAATAAATTCATAAAATATAAAAATTTAAAAACCAAAAAAAAAATTGTAAATATCTACTTGTAAATATTAAACTCATAATTTGATTAATGTTCATAGTTGATTATTATGAATGAAAATGTACATATAATGAAATTAACTTTTAAATACGCCAAGTTTAAATATAAGTATGCACAATAAGCTTGCCAGTCCTAAGCCTGGAAAAAGTACGAAGGGAAGTTCATTTCAACAATATGTCATTTCATTCTCAATAATCTCGTTTACTAAACGACGACGTATGTACATACCTATTCACATCGTCAAATTGGTAAACGAGACTTTCGTTCGTTCACGTTCACTAATCGTTTATGTGATGAAGTAGTCTTTTCGACGACGACGTAAACTAGTCGAAAATTAGACTGTTTTTAAACTAGTTTATCGTCGACGGTAAACGGTCTCGTTGCGTCGACTGTAAAATCTTCAACGACCCACCACTAATCCTATGTTCTTTCTCAAGGTCAACTCTATATATGTATCAAATTTCGTTAAAATCAGTTCAGTGGTTCTAAATCAATCAGTTTAGGCGCGAAAGCGTAACAGACAGACAGACAGAGTTACTTTCGCATTTATAATATTAGTAGGGATTAGCAAAATAATATTTTTTATTGTCTTATATGTATATTTATCCACTAATGAATATTTTAATTAGCGTATTTTGACCAAAAAATTTATTACACACAACTAGTGAAAAATAGGGAGGGCTACCGGAGACTTTCTTGGCATATAGTTTATTTTAAACAAATTAAATGTATAAAGAGGTGTTTTTTACATTCGTGTAATCTGTCAAAAAAATGTATCGTGTTAGAATAGGAATTATTATTTATATAAGCTACATCTTTTTTTAAAGACATTTTATGAAATCATAGTAGAAATAAGTTTTGGGGTTGTAGATCCCCATAATTAGTCCCACTGTTATAGTTATTGCATTTTAAATAGTAGTGAAATCAAATAAATTATATTTTAAATTAAATATGTATAACAATTAAGGGAAATATTTAAGACGTAAATATTACGTTACTCTGCGTCTTTTTTTAAATAATTAAAGTTATGTGACAGTATCTGACAGTAAATATGATCTAAAAATTATATTTAATTATATTGAACAATAATATATAAACATATAGAATTATTTGTCTGTCTTTATATCTGTGCACTCTAATCTAACGACATGTACCACCTTTGTTAATTATTTTTATTTTTATTTCAGGCAACATTACTTTTTTAGTTATTACAACTGTCAATGACAATATGTGTAATTTTCTTGTTATATTTAGAAACTATATATCTCTATATACTCTTGTTATACTTTTCATCATAGATAAATAAAAATTATTGTATTATATTTTTATAACATTTATTGTTTTTTATATAGAAAAAAATAAATCAAAAAATCGATGTATTGTAATCATATTGATCGAAACTAACGCCCATACTCATAGAGCTATCACTGAAAGCTATTAGTTTTGCGTGTCATTTATATTCTAGAACTAGTTGGGAAACCTAGTTACAACGTTGTTAACAAATCGTACATAATTAATTATCATTTGTTTTTCTGTTTAAATATAATTCAAAATGAACTCAATAGCCGAAATACCACAAATGTTGTTGAACTGCTAATTCTCGTATTATATTTTTATAATCCTTATGCTATCTTATACTTTTATACTTTTACTTTTACATATTCTTTAGTATTGTATATGATAAAATAGAAACTGCTTTCAATATTTAATTAAACTTTTTAACGTAAATATTCAACAAATTCCAGTATTTCATTTTCATCATATTTCATCCCTGTGGATTAAAAAATCTTTCAAATGTATTTAATTAAACGATAAAAATATAAACCCTTACTTATAATTTAAAATCTTCATACATTTTAAGCTGATAGAAATTTTTGTTTGTTGAAAGAAGGCTTAATTATAATTAAATATGTCGGTAATATTACTTTAATACATATTTAAAATCTGGAAACGTAAATTAAAATTAGGTAAGAAGTTAATTAAAGGGATCGTTTGAGAACACAGTTTTAAGATTTTATAATAATATTATCGTACCTTATAAAGAAAATTTCATACTAAGTCAGATTGAATTCCTTACACAATGGCCTTAAATTTAATATAATATGGCAACAGGAGTAGTATTAAAACAAATAGTATATTTCATATTTATATGATATTTATAGATAAGATACCAACTGAACAAATATTTCGTTTGATTTAATTGTTCTTTCACCGATATTCTAAAAGATTTATTGTCCATAAAAGTAACAATAGTTTGAAACAACATTTTTGTTTCATTCCTGGTTATTTATAGAACATCATCATTCAAGAAAAATTGAAAACTTCTAAACTTACGTTAATCAACACTTAGCTACCTATTTTCATGCATACCGGGTGTTTTAGTAAAAAATATACAAAAGTATATAATATAAATATGAACATAAATAATTGGTAACCCTTTTCTATTATATCAAAAATAAAAATATTTATACATATGTATTTAAGAAACACAAATGAAATCATTGTCATATAAGCATACTAAATATATTATCTATAGTTAGAAATAATCTGGCAACAACACTTTGTGTATCCTCTCATATTCTAATAGGCAGCTGTGACTGTAACTGTAATTAATTATATACATATTTATATGTAGTTAATCTCATTATTATGTAGTTTTAAAAATGTTAATTTCTCGACCAACGAATGCGTTCCTTTAAATACCTTCTCATTAAAACGTTTTTCAGCAGAGGAAGGGCGGTATGAAGAAAATAAAGATATCCTTTAAGCATTCTGTAATGTGTTCATTACTCTAGTCCGTATTATATAAATATAGACAAGCAAAGACAGCAAATAAATTTAACAATAAATATAAATTACAAAATTATTTAATGGTTTTGATATATACTTGAATGATTTATATGTATTTTTCAATATTAGAATTTTGTACTCATAAAAGGGGGCTCTTATAAAATTAGAATGTAGATAATATCTAGACTTAATGAAAATCTTAAAAAAGGCGATGACAGTTATGAAGGAGCAATTCTAGGAGCCATCTTCGGTTTGAATACCATACCAGTCCGACACTAATGGAAGAAGAACCTTTTTTTAAATGAAACTAATATTTTTCGGATTTTACTTCGCG